TGAGCCATCATGCCTGGCTTCTACAAAAAAATTTTAAAAATAAAGACATTAACCAGTCATGGTAGCAGGTGCCTATAGTCCCAGCTACTTGGAAGATGGAGGCAGGAGGATTGCTTTAGCTTGGGAAGCTAAGCTGTAGTGAACAATGATCATGCCACTGCACTCCAGCTTGGGTGACAGAGCAGGTCACTGTCAAAAAAAAAGATAGATGACAATTTTTTTTTTAAGTGGAAAAGATATAAATAGAAAATTTACTGACAAGAAAAGTAAATGGCTAATAAACATATGAAACTCTTCACACTCAGTATTAATCAAGGAAATACAATTGAAACAAGATACCAGCCAGGCGTGGTGGCTCACACTTATAATCCCAACACTTTGGGAGGCCGAGGCAGGCGGATCATGAGATCAGGAGTTTGAGACCAGCCTGGTCAACACAGTGAAACCCCATCTCTACTGAAAATACAAAACTTAGCTGGGTGTATTGGCGGGCACCTGTAATCCCAGCTACTTGAGAGGCTGAGGCAGGAGAATGGCTTGAACCCGGGAGACAGAGGTTGCGATAAGCCGAGATCTCACCATTACACTCCAGCCTGGAGCAAAGAGAAGAGCAAAACTCCATCTCAAAAAAAGAAAGATACCATTTTATACCCAACATACTGGTAAAAATAATAATAGTAATAATAAGAGACACTAAATGATGACAAACATGTAAGAAAGTTGAAATTCTTACAATATACTGCTAATTGCACCATTGCACTCTAGCCTGGGAAACAAGTACAAAACTCCATCTCAAAAAAAAAGATACTATTTTATACCCAACATACTGGGTTAAAAAAATAATAAGAGACACTAAATGATGACGAAGATGTAAGAAAGTTGAAAATTTGAACGATCCAAGATGGCCGATCGCTAACATCTCGGGATTGCAGCGCCCAGTGAAAGCTCGGAGAACGAGAGGATGCCACACTTTCAGACAAATTTTGGTCACTCACGGAGCAGAAGATTCCCAGTGGAGGAGCTCCACGGGTCGCCAGCGCGACTCTTGTGGCCGGCGCAGCAGTTTTGCCGGCACCTCAGTGCGGCAGCGCTCGGTGCAGAGTAAACAGGACTGGTTCCCCTTCTGACAGAGGTTTGGAGCTCCGGGAAGGCAGAGTCGCCTATTACGGACTCAAGAAGGAAGCCAGACTGGAGATTCCTGGGCAGAAAAGCACCATCAGTCTTAACGCCACTGTTTTGGCCTGCACAGTGGGTTGCTCATCTTTCGGTCCTGGGAATTAACAACTTGGACGTGCACTCAGAGACCTAATTTGAAAGTTGGTAATTACAAAGACGACAGGTGGATAAATTTACAATGATGGGAAGAAACCAGCATAAAAAGGCTGAGAATACTCAAAATCAGAACGCTTCTCCCTCTAAAGAGGATCACAGTTCCTCATCAACAAGGGAACAAGACTTGATGGAGAACGAGTGCATCCCATTAACAGAATCAGGCTTTAGAAGATGGATAATAAGAAACTTCTGTGAGTTAAAAGAACATGTTGTAGCCCAATGTGAAGAAACTAAGAGGGGCCAGGCACGGTGGCTCAAGCCTGTAATCCCAGCACTTTGGGAGGTCAAGGCGGGTGGATCACAAGGTCAAGAGATTGAGACCATCCTGGTCAACATGGTGAAACCCCATGTCTAGAAAAAATGCAAAAAATTAGCTGGGCATGGTGGCGCGTGCCTGTAATCCCAGCTACTCAGGAGGCTGAGGCAGGAGAATTGCCTGAACCCAGGAGGCAGAGGTTGTGGTAAGCTGAGATCGCACCATTGCACTCCAGCCTGGGTAACAAGAGCAAAACTCTGTCTCAAAAAGAAAAAAAAAAAAACTAAGAACTTTGAAAAAAAGGTTTGATGAAATCCTAATGAGAATAGACAATTTAGGAATATAAGTGAATTAATGGAACTCAAGAATACAATGCAGGAACTCCAAGAAGTATGCACAGGTTTAAACACTCAAATTGTTCAAGCAGAAGAAAGGATATCAGAGGTCAAAGTCCAACTTAATGAAATAAAATGAGAAGACAAGATTAGAGAAAAAAGGATAAAAAGGAATGAGCAAAGTCTCCAAGAAATGTGGGACTATGTGAAAAGACCAAATTTACATTTGATAGGTGTACCTGAATGTGACGGAGAGAATGAATCCAAGCTGGAACATACCCTTCAGGATATTATTCAGGAAAATTTTCCTAAACTAGCAAAGCAGGTCAATATTCAACCCCAGGTAATACAGAGAACACTACAAAGATATTCCTCAAGAAAAGCAACCCCAAGGCACATAATCGTTAGATTCACCAGGGTTGAAATGAAGGAGAAAATACTAAGGGCAGCCAGAGAGAAAGGTCAGGTTACTCACAAAGGGAAGCCTATCAGACTTATAGCAGATCTCTCAGCAGAAACTCTACAAGCCAGAAGAGAGTGGGGGCCGATATTCAACATCCTTAAAGAACAGAACTTTCAGCCCAGAATTTCATATCCAGCCAAACTAAGCTTCACAACTGAAGGAAAAATAAAATCTTTTATGAACAAGCAAGTACTCAGAGATTTTATTACCACCAGGCCTGCTTTACAAGAGCTTCTGAAAGAAGCATTACACACAGAAAGAAACAACCAGTATTAGCATTTCTAAAAATATACCAAAAAGTAAAGAGCATCAACAAAAAGAAGAATTTACATCAACGAATGGATAAAATAGCCAGTTAACATCAAATGGCAGTAACCCTAAATTTAAATCGACTAAATCCCCCAATCAAAAGACACAGCCAAAACCCAACGGCATGTTACATCCAGACCCATTTCACATGCAAGGATACACACAGACTCAAAACGAAGGGATGGAGAAAGATTTAACAACCAAATGGAGAGCAAAAATAAATAAATAAATAAAAAGCAGGAGTTGCAATTCTCATATCTGATAAAATAGATTTTAAAGCAACAAAGATATAATGGTAAAAGGATCAATGCAACAACAAGAGCTAACGATCCTAACACCCAGATACATAGAGACTTAGACTCAATGAGACAGAAAATTAATAAGGATATCAAGGACTTAAACTCAGATCCGGAACAAGTAAACTTAATAAATATTTATAGAGCTCTCCACTTTAAATACACAAAATATACATTCCTGTCAATACCACATCACACCTACTCATAGGTTTAAATGAAACATTGATTGGCCATTATTAATACCCATTTTTTTTAGAATAAAGCAACATTTCCATTCTCTCTCCCTCTTTTTCTTCCTCTTTCTTCCTCTCTCCTTCACTCCTTTTTTTTCTTTCCTTCTCTCAAAAAAAGAAAAAAAGAAATCAACTTGTAGACCTCTAGATCCAGGTCAGCAATATCTCTCTCATTGCTTGATTTCCTTCCTTCCCTTCTTTCCCTCCCTCTCTCTCTCCTTCCCTCCCTCCCTTCCCTCCTCCCTCCCTTCCTCCTTTCCTCCCTTCCTGCCTTCCTCCCTTCCTCCCTTCCAAAAAAAAAAAGAAAGTTCAAATTCTTACAATATACTGCTAATATGCATTTAATTAGATCAACTTATGATATAGCAATTCCACATCTAGGAACATCATCTAACGAAGCTCTTGGCCAGGCACAATGGCTCACTCCTGTAATCCCAAAACTTTGGAAGGCCAAGGGGGGTGGATCACTTGAGGTCAGGAGTTTGAGACCAGCCTGGCCAACATGGCAAAACCCGTCTCTACTAAAAATACAAAAGTTAGCTGGGCGTGTGGTGCACACCTGTAATCCCAGCAACTCAGGAGGATGAGGGAGAATCTTGAACCTGGGAGACAGAGGTTCCAGTGAGCTGAGATGGTGCCACTGCACTCCAGCCTGGATAACAGAGTCTGTCTCAAAAATAAATAAATAAACAAATAAATAAAGAAGCTCTCCACATATTCACAAATCAACTTGTACAAGAATGCCCACTACAGCAATATTTATGATAAAAATTAGTACAAAACTTCATTTGAACACAAAGGAACAAATTAACTATATCTTATTCCTCTAATGAAATACTATCCAGCATGTAAAATGGGTAAACTAGAACTATATTTTTTGAAATGGATATATTTTTAAAATATTATACTTAGTAAAAAAAAGCAAGCTGCAGTACAACACAAGATATTTAAGGTTGGGCACAGTGGTTCACACCTGTAATCCCAGCATTTTGAGAGGTCAAGGTAGGTAGATCACCTGGGGTCAGGAGTTCAAGACCAGCTTGGCAAACATGATGAAATCTGACCTCTACTAAAAATACAAAAATTAGCTGGGTGTGGTGGTGCACGCCTGTAATCTCAGCTACTTGGGAGGCTGAGGCATAAGAAACATTTGAACCTGGGAGGCAGAGGTTGCCGTGTGCTCACCTCATATCACTGCACTCCAGCCTGGATGACAGAATGAGAGTCTGTCTTTAAAAAAAAAAAAAAAATTTAAAACTTAAGAACAAAAACTAATACTATCTATTCCCTGCAGAGACTTACATGTATAATAAAAGTGTAAAAACAAACCAAGTTTACACACATCTCTGAAAATAGAAAGGGAGAAGGGATGAGGACGTAGTGGTTTTAGCTGTTTCTTTTTTTATTTACTTTATGCTTTAGAATCTAACACTGTATGTTTAATATTTTATTTTAAATGAGTCTAAAGCAACTGTGGCAAAAGATAACATTTGTTTTGTTTTTCCTAAAAGCCCATTCTATAACTTAATTAACATTTGTTAAATATGAGTGAAGGGCATATTGGTAAGCATGATATTATTTTCTGCATGTTTGAAAATTTTTATAATTGAAAATTTTGGTTTTATATTATAATGCCAATTTATATACAAGTTTTCAAAATGATATATAAATTCCCATAGACATCTATATTTATATGACTTCTGAAATAAAGGTAAATGTGAAAATAGAAAAGTCTAAAAAAAAGACAGATATTAATTACTCAATACAACATGTTACCTGCTTCTCCTGAAGGTGTTTCCTCAGTAACTAGCGGTAAGCCAGATGCAAAGAAGTCCATAATTGTTGCATAAATATCTGGTTTCAGTAAATTCCAGTCTAATTCTTCATTTTCCTATAAACATTTAAAGGAAAATGCTATATTTTCAGGCAAGGGCAAAGACGCATATAGAACATTACCTTATACGTCTTAAGAATCTTTTCCTGGCCAGGTGTGATAGCTCATACCTGTAATCCCAAAGCTGAGGCAAGAGGATTGCTCAAGTCCAGGAGTTCAAGACTAGCCTTGGCAACATAGTGAGACTTCATCTCTTTTTATATTTTTTAAAATAATATATAATTGGAAAGGAAGAAAGAAAAAAGAGAAAAGAAGCGGAAAAAAGGAAAGGAGGAAGGAAGGCAAGCAGGCAGGCAAAGTGAAGGAGAAGGGAAAAGGGAAAGGGAAAAGAAGAAAAAATAAAGAAAAGAAAAAAGTATCTTTTCCTGTATACATACTATACCTACGCAATGGCAACCATTTCTGAATACATATTAGCTCCACATCTTAAAGGGTGCTGTTTAAATGACTTTCAGAAGATAAAATCTTAAACATCCTCTATTCATTCATTAAATTATTCACTTATCAAACTTTCATTGTGTTGTATGTACTATGTATAGGGGATGATTTAAATGATTAAAAGACAAAATATTACATGGATTTTCTGTCTTTCAAGAGGATGATAAAGAGATTGCCATTCTTTAAAAAAAAAATAGGATGTAATTGCTTGATCAAGTATACAAGACAGCCTACAACTGTTCAAAAAATTTACTTACCTATATTACTTAAAGGGTATGAAAGAAATTCAGCCAGGCATGGTGGCTCAAGCCTGTAATCCCAGCGCTTTGGGAGGCCAAAGCAGGTGGATCATCTGAGGTCACGAGTTTGAGATGAACCTGGCCAACATTGAAACCCTGTCTCTACTAATAATACAAAAATTAGCCAGGCGTGGTGGTGCGGGCCTGTGATTCCAGTTACTTGGGAGACTGAGGAAGAATCACTTGAACCTGGGAGGTGGAGGCTGCAGTGAGCCGAGATCGTGCCACTGCATTCCAGCCTAGGTGAGAAGAGCAAAAGTGTCTCCAAAAAAAAAAAAAAAAGGAAATGAACAAACAAAAAAAAAGAAATTAAATGATATAACTGTAGAATCAATGTTATTCTGCTAGAGGACCTGTGGACTGTCAAGAAGACTGGTCTCCTAAAGAAGGATTCCGTAACTGTTTCACCCATATACCTGGCCAACTAGTTGTTTCCATAAATAAAAAGATGAAATTATTAAATACCTAAATAGAATTAATATCTACAAAAAGAAAGGCAACATGTTTTGTTCTAGTTTTTCAGTTATTTTTAACTTTTTAAGTTAAAAATTTTTTTTTTTTAGAGACAGGGTCTAGTTCTGTCACCCAGGCTGGAATGCAGTGGCACAATCATAGCTCACTGCAGCCTAGACCTCTGAGGGTAAAGTGATCCTCCCACCTCAGCCTCCTGAGTAGCTGAGACTACAGGCATGTACCACCAAGCCTGGATAATCATTTTTATGTTTTATGTTTTGTTTTGTTTTTTTATAAAGATGGCATCTCACTATGCTTCATAGGTTGATATCCAACTCCTGGCCTCAAGTGATCCTACTACCTCAGCCTCCCAAAATGCAGGGATTTCAGGCATGAGCCATAGCACTTGGCCTGTTCCAGTTTTTCAAAGGGAGGTTCTATAGGAGGAAAAAATATTAGATGCAGTCTATTTAGACTCTTAGGATCCTGTTAGCTAGAGACTATACTTAAATACTATTAAAAATTGAGGCTGGGCATAGTGGCTCAAAACTGTAATCCCAGCACTTTGGGAGGCCAAGGCAGGAGGACTGCTTGAGCCCAGGAGTTTCAGGCCAGGCCAGGCAACATAACAAGACCCTATCTCTACAAAAAAATTAAAAATTCACTGGACATGTTAAAACCCAATAGTCCTGCCTACTAGGAGGCTGAAGAGAAGGACTGCTTGAGCCCAGGAGGTTGAGGCTGCAGTATGTCACATTCATGTCACTGCAGTCCAGTATGGGCAAAAAAGAAAGATCCTGTCTCAAAAAAAAAAAAAGAATTGAGTCAACATAGATAAAAGAAACTATTTTAATTCATGGATTAAGAACCAATTTAGAGGCTGAGTGCAGTAGCTCACATTTGTAATCCCAGTATTTTGGAAGGCCGAGAAGGGTGGATCACTTGAGGTCAGGTGTTCGAGACAAGCCTGGACAACATGGTAAAACCCTGTCTCTACTAAAAATACAAAAATTAGCTGGGTGTGGTGGCACATGCCTGTAATCCCAGCTGCTCAGAAGGCTGAGGCAGGAGAATCACTTGAACCCAGTAGGCTGGGGTTACAGTGAGCCGAGATGGCTCCACTGCCCTCCAGGCTGGACAGCAGAGTAAGATACTGTATCAAAAACAACAACAACAAAATACAAAACAAAGAATGAATTTAGAGACAGTACATAAAAGGTGAGATAAGCGGGGACTGCTAAGGTTATAAGAGTAAAGGAAAACTAGTGAAATATATTAGTGATTGGGAACCAAAACTAGTCCCAGGTAATAAATTATTTGGAAAATAAGTAAAAGTGCTACCTCAGATCTTCAGTAAATAGCAGGCTTACTAAATAGGAAAATATTGGTAATAAAAAGAAAAATATTCTCAAGTTGCCTAAATGAGAAAAAAGGAAGCATATAAGCTGCAAATATACATACACATTTAGAAAAAGCAACACAAGGCCAGGCGCAGTGGCTCACGCCTGTAATCCCAGCACTTTGGGAGGCCGAGGTGGGTGGATCACAAGGTCAAGAGATCGAGACTATCCTGGTCAACATGGTGAAACCCCGTCTCTACTAAAAATACAAAAAAAAATTAGCTGGGCATGGTGGCGCATGCCTGTAATCCCAGCTACTCAGGAGGCTGAGGCAGGAGAATTGCCTGAACCCAGGAGGCAGAGGTTGTGGTGAACCGAGATCGCGCTACTGCACTCCAGTCTGGGTAACTAGAGCGAAACTCCATCTCAAAAAAAAAAAAAAAATGAAAAAAGAAAAAGCAACACAAATGATACATAAAGAAGTCTAATTACCAACTGGAAATCAGAAATAGAAACAGGTGATTGCTGAAGACATTCAGTAAAATGTGACAGTCTATGATGAGAAAGCTTACTGAAAGAAAGCAAATCAAATCTAGTATTCCATCTGTTAGATACCAACATGGGCCAGGCATGGTGGCTCACACCTGTAATCCCAAATTTTGGGAGGCCAGGCCAGGAGGATTACATGATCCCAGGAGTTTGAGACAAGCCTGGACAACATAGAAAGACCCTGTCTCTACAAAAAAAAAAAAAAAAAAGGAAAAAAGAAAAAAAATTAGCTGTGCATGGTGGCAAGCACCTGTAGTCCCAGCTACTTGGGAAGCTGAGACAGGAGGATCAGCTTGAGCCTGAGAGTTAGTGGTTGCAGTGACCCATGATAGAACCACTGCCTTCCAACCTGGGAAACAGAGCGAGATCCCATCTATATCTATGGATGGATGGATGGATAGATAGAGACACACACACATACATACACACACACACAGACACAGACACACACACACATCAACATATACCCTAACTTGGAATATTATCTCTTAGTTATGTCATTTTACTTAAGAAAAAACAGTAGAGCTAGAGCAATTTCAAATAGGGTAACTAAATAATGAAAGTAAGAGAGCTGACAGGAACAGTGGCTCACGCCTGTAATCCCAGCACTCTGGGAGGCCGAGATGTGTGGATCACCCAAGGTCAGGAGTTCGAGACCAGCCTGACCAACATGGCGAAACCCTGTCTCTATTAAAAAAAAAAAAAGAAAGAGAGCTAAAAAAAATGACTTACTAAATCTAATCAAGAAAAATAGGAGGAGGCCAGTGGCCATGCCTGTAACCCCAGCACTCTGGGAGGCCGAGGTGGGTGGATCATGAGGTCAGGAGTTCAAAACCAGCTTGACCATCTCTACTAAAAATTACAAAAATATTAGCTGGGCATGGTGGAAGACACCTGTAATCCCAGCTACTAAAGAAGCTGAGGCAGGAGAATTGCTTGAACCCGGGAGGTGGAGATTGCAGTGATCCAAGATTGTACCACTGCACTCCAGACTTCCAGCCTGGGTGGAAAAAAAAAGGAAAAGGGAAAAAAAAAAACTCTTTAAGATATAATCACATTTTCATCTATAAAAATTTTTATATAGCATAGGTTATATGTAAAAGAACTAAATAACTTTAAAAAATAAACATATAATTTCCCACTTATAAAATGAATACCTGTAAGAATTAGATAATATATGTAAAGCACTAGTGCCCTATCTGACATTGAATATATTAAATAAATGCTTGTCCTTTTTCCCCTTAAAAAGCATGGAAGAAAGAAAACTGAAGAATTGGGGGCTGGGCATGGTGGTTCAGACTGTAATCCCAGCACTTTGGGAGGCCAAGGTGAGCAGATTGACCTCAGGAATTTGAGACCAGCCTGGGCAACATGGTGAAACCCCCGTCTCTACAAAAAAATACAAAAATTAGCTGAACGTGGTGGTATGCACATATAGTCCCAGCTACTAGGGAGGCTAAGGTGGGAAGACTGCTTGAGCCCATGAGGCTGAGGCTACAGTGAGCTGAGATCGTGCCACTGCACTCTGAACTGGGCGATAGACCGAGACTTTGTCTCTAAGTAAATTAACTACAAGAGAATACTGGACTAGACTTAACATGTCACTAACCCAGTAAGTCCACTTTTAAGGACATAAAGAACTCAGACTAATGCTTTCAAATTGCTTAAGGGGAGTTTAATACTTTTGATTTTCACACATTATCAGGCAAGTGATTTAAGTTTAGTGGATATATGTCAATTAACAGATTTAAAAGGATACACAGTTAAAATTTAAATAGTTCATGTCCCATTAATCTAGAGACATCAAAAATGAACAGCCGTTTCTAGCAGATACTGCCTTGACTGTTGAAAAACAGCCTATTTCGCTTGATTTTGTGACATTCACAGGCAAGTGAGTAAGACTCTGTCTCGAAAATAAAAATTAAAGAACAGAAAGAATGGAAATGTTGGAGAGAGGCACTGGACTCAGAAAAAAACAAAAACTATTTCAAGTCTTATTTTATATAATCTGATGTTTACCTTTGTGACAGTGATGAAATCTGGTCCAAAGAAGACACTTTTTACTCCTTCAATCCTAAATAACTGCCTGCAAATAAAGAAAAAATAAGAGATAATAAAATGCTTGAATATGGAAAAGTTTAAACATACACAAAAGTAGAGAAAAGTGAAAAACTCTCCACATATCCTTTGCAGCTTCAGCAATTATCAACTCATGGCCAATTTTGTTTCATAGTCCTACTCTATGATGTAGCAATCCCACTCCTAGGTATATACCCAAAAGAAATGAAAACACATGCTCCACCAAGACTTGTACATAAATCTTTATAGCAGCTTCATTTAAAATAGCCACAAAGAAAAGTGAAGCAACTGAATCTTCAGTATGTTCTCATCGGCGGAGACTTCTTGTGTAATGTAAACTGTGCCATGTTATTAAAAAATGTGAACTAAGGAAAAATAAAAAATAAATAAAATAGCCACACATACACAAAAATATGGAAATGTCCACCACCTGGTGAATGAATAGACTATCATATCCATACAATCAATCATTCATTCAACAAATAATTTGACACCAATTAAGTGCCAGGCACTGTACTAGGCACTAAACAGGCTATTTTCTTTCTTTTTTTTTTTCTTTTGAGACGGAGTCTCTCTCTGTCACCCAGGCTGGAATGCAGTGGCATGATCTCGGCTCACTGCAACCTCTACCTCCTGGGTTCAAGCCATTCTCCTACCTCAGCCTCCCAAGTAGCTGGGATTACAGGTATATGCCACCATGCCCAGCTAATTTTTATATTTTTAATAGAGACGGGGTTTCACCATGTTGGCCAGGCTGGTCTTGAATGTCTGACCTCAGGTGATCCACCCGCCTTGGCATCCTAAAGTACTGGGATTAAAGGTATAAGCTACAACGACTGGCCTTAATAGACTATTTCCAAAAGACTAATTTGAAAAGAGATTTCTGCCAACCGAACATCTGACAGAAATAATCTTTAACTAATCTATAGCTGAAATGGGGCTTTTTTACTTTTATATTATTTATTTATTTTGAGATGGAGTTTCGCTCGTTACCCAGGCTGGAGTGCAATGGCGCAATCTCAGCTCACTACAACCTCCGCCTCCTGGGTTCAGGCAATTCTCCTGCCTCAGCTTCCTGAGTAGCTGGGATTACAGGCATGCGCCACCATGCCCAGCTAATTTTTTGTATTTTTAGTAGAGACGGGGTTTCACCAACTTGACCAGAATGGTCTCAATCTCTTGACCTTGTGATCCACCCGCCTTGGCCTCCCAAAGTGCTGGGATTACACCCGGCTACTTTTATATTTGTTAATACAAAATATGAACTCATTCTTGATGTAAATGTTTCAAATAATAAAGTTTAAATGCCCCTTGACCACCCCTATCCAAATCCTGTTATTAGTTTCGTACGTATTCTTCCAGATCTTTTTGTCAGTGCATTTGTTGTTCTGTGGTTTTTGTTTTTATATATGTAATATCTTATTGGACTCACTGTTCTGCAAGTTGCTTTCTTCACTTGTATGTCTCAGATGTCCTTCTATGACAGTAAAAACATCCCTCCACACAGCTTGGTTACATATGCAAGTAACTTCTAGGGTAGTGTTTTTCAAACCCAGTAGTGAGTTGTGGAATCAAATATGTAGTGACAGGGTTTTATTTAATAAAATAAAACAGAACAACAAAAAGAGATGAAGAAAGGAAATATAAGCTCTATTACCCATTGTAAGGGGGAAAAAAAAGTGAAAATTATCCCATCAAACATTTGTATCTCACACATACACACACATAATGTAAAATATTTTTTACTGTGGCTTATATCAAAAAAGTATGAAAAACAGCCTGTAATTCCAGCACTTTGGAGGGCGAGAAGGACAGGTTACTTGAGCTCAGGAGTCTAAGACCACTAGCCTGAGCAACATGATGAGACCTAGTCTCTACAAAAAATACCAAATTTAGCTAGGTGAGGTGGCACATGTTTATAGTCCCAACTACTTGGGAGGCTGAGGCAGAAGAATAGCTTGGACCTAGGAGATGGAGGTTGCAGGGAGCCAAGATCGCGTCATCATACTCCAGCCTGGGTGACAGGAGTGTAACCTTACCTCAAAAAATAAATAAAAAGTAAAAAATAAAATATGAAAAATAAATACTCTAAGGTATATTATGAGAACCGATAAGTTTAAGTAAAAAAAAAAGTACTTATTAATTATAAATTTTTAAAACTATTACAGAGCTTAGCAAATCCCTAGGTTCCTTAAATGAGACATATAAAATGGCTATATGTATAGAAGTAGTTTTTTCCCCATTACCTAAGCTGTTTTCTGAGTATTCCTGGCAATCAGATTGAGGCTTCAGTTCCCAAAAATTTCAACTGATGCTAAATGACTCTAATATTCCTTATTTTTAACTACCAGTTAAAAAGAGGTTAATTCCAACAATTTTATCATTTGTGCTTTATCATCTCTAACATCCATCCCTCTTATCCTCAGGGAGATGTTCCAAGGCCCCAGTGGATCCCTAAAACCATACACAGTATTGAACCCTGCAAGTACTGTTTTTTGCCTATACATATATACCTATGATAAAGTTTAATTTATAAATTAGGCACAAAAAGAGATTAACAACTGATAATAAAATAGAACAATTATAACAATATGCCAGCTACTACTGCAAGAGATGGCTACTAAGTGACTAATGGTGCAGCAGAGGCAGGGCAGGAGGGAGGGAGGGATCAGCAGAGGGAAGGACATAGGCAGACGGATAGTGTATATGGCATGGATATTCCAGAAAAGGGATAATTTATGCCTTGGGGAGGACAGCGAAAGATTTCACCATGCTACTCAGAAAGGCAGCACAATTTAAAACAGATGAATTGTTTATTTCTGAAATTTTCCATTTAATATTTTTAGACTATGGCTGATCTTGGGGTAACTAAAACCAGGGAAAGTGAAACCACAGATAAGGGGGGAACTACTGGTTTAAACATGCCTTTATCTGGTAAATTTTAAAACTGTCTCCACTGACTCATTTTCATTCATAGTTCTGAAGAGTATTTTATAAATTACTCCATCTTGAAACATCTACAAATTCAACTACCCTTATGAATAAAATAAGCAAGTTCTCATTATTCTTAAAAATCAGATTTCTAAAGATCTGAAATGGAAATTTACCATATTTATCAATTTGATGAATATTTTTTCTTAAGTAAAAATATGTTTTTATTTATTCATGAGCTAGATCTCTCAAATATATCACTTTTCAGGAGAAAGATTTTTTTAATATCAACTCTCATTTTTCTTTTCTTTTTTGAGACAGGGTCTCACTCTGTTGCTCAGGCTCGAATGCAGTGGCACAATCATGGCATCACAGCTCATTGTTTCCTCAACCTCCTGAGCTTAAGTGATCTTCTCACCTCAGCCTCCTTAGTAGCTAGGATTACAGACACATACCACCACACTCAGCTAATTTTTGTATTTTTTGTATACAGGGTTACACCATGTTACCCAGGCTGGTCTCAAACTCCTGAGCTCAAGTGATCCCCTGCTCCTCAGCCTCCTCAACATTTTTGGGGTTTTTTGAGACAGGGTCTCACTCTGTTGCCCAGGCTGGAGCACAGTGGCACTAACATGGCTCACTGCAACCTCGACCTCGCAGACTCAAGCAATTCTACTATCTCTGTCTCCTGTGTAGCTGAGACCAGAGGTGCACACCACCACACCCAGCTAAATCTATGTGTGGGGGTGTGTGTGTGGCAGAGATGGATGTGTGGGGGGCGGGGCAGAGATGAGTGTATGGGTGTGTGTGTGTGTGTGGTAGAGATTGGGTCTCTCTATGCTGTGCAGGCTGGTCTCAAACTCCTGGACTCAAGCAATCCTCCCACGCTGGCCTCTCAAAATGTTAGGATTACAGGCGTGAGTCGCTGCAACAGGCATTTTTCAAAAAATCTCTTATCTGAAAAGAAAAAAAATTATTTTCTACACTTAAAAAAATACAGTACACATAGAAAGGCAACAGTTAAATAAGGTTGTCTTAACCCCAAAGTCAGTTATTTATGTTTCTTGGCAAAAGCAAATGAAAACTGTAATATACCTAGCCAGAGGGGAGCGAAATGCTGCAGCTGGGGTGGGAAAATCCATGGTCCTTGTCTCAAGAACTGGTTTTCCTGGTATAAACTTTAAGCTGTTGGGATTTGGGGTATCTTGTGTTTGAATAAACATGTATCTTACTAAAAAAGAAAAAGAAGAAAATGTTATTCTAGAAAAAATAGTTAACAAGTTTATGGAGTATGAAGTGCTCATTTGCAGAGAACCAGAAGAAATAAGAAAAACTGGGGGAAAACCCAGGGCTTTATTGTCCTGACAAAGCATTTATAAAAATAACAAAGACATATATCACTATATTTAAGTGCATACAGTTGTCTATTAATACTCTTGGTTTTTTTTTTTTTTGTTATTGTTTTAGACAGGGTCTTGCTCTGTTGCCCAGGCTGGAGTACAGTGGCACAATCACAGTTTACTACAACCTCAAATTCCTGGGTTCAAGCAATCCTCCTATTTAAGCTGAATAAATAGCTGGGACTTCAGGTGTGATGGTGCACACCTGAAGTCCCAGCTATTTATTCAGCTTAAATCATGCCTAGTTAATTTTTGTGTTTGTTTGTTTGGTACAGACAGAGTCTCACTATGTTGCCCAGGCTGGTCTCAAATTCCTGGACTCAAATGATCCTCCCACCTCACACTTTCAAAGTGCTGAGATTCGAATGTGAGCACTGTGCCCAGCCAATACTGATTATTTAAACAGTTGTGTTATGAAACAGATTCCAGAAATAGTCTACACTTAAGTCTTATATATATTCATAATTCAGGAGTCCTATATATATTCTATTTGGTGACTTCATACCAATGGCTATCATAATCATAGATCACTTATTGCTATGATATTAATACAGTAAAATGTTACATTCTCTTTCCAAAGTGCCATCATTGCTTTAAAGACAATAAAGTTAGCAGTTTATAATAATAATAATAATACATATTTATTATGTGCTTATTATATGCCAAATACAGGGCCAAAGGCTTTTTTAAAAAAAGTTTGTGTAGAGGTGGAGTCTCCCAATGTTGCTCAGGCTAGTCTCAAACTCCTGACCGCACGTGATCCTCCCACCTTGGCCTCCCAAAGTAAAGTGCTGGGATTAGAGGTGTAAGCCATCATATCCAGCTCTGGGGCCAAGTGCTTTATTTATTTTTAATTAGTTAATTTTTTTTTTTTAAGTTGTGAGATCTTGGCTCACTGCAACCTCCGCCTCCCAGGTTCAAGAGATTTTCCTGCCTCAGCCCTAGAGTAGCATGGATTACAGGCATGCATCACCACATTGGCTAATTTTTGTATTTTTAACAGAGATGAGGTTTTCCCATGTTGGCCCAGCTGATCTCCAACTCCTCACCTCAGGCGATCCACCCACCTCAGCCTCCCAAAGTGCTGGGATTACAGGTGTGAGTCACCATGCTTAGCCTAATTTTTTTTAACTGGGTTTCACCATGTTGCCCAGGCTGGTCTCAAACTCCTGGCCTTGAGTGATCTACCTACTTCAGCATCCCAAAGTGTTGGGATTATAGGCAGGAGCCATTGTGGCCTGGCCCAAGTGCTTTAACTGTATGTATACCTTTAATAACCCTATAAAGAAGAAACTCTTATTGCCATTTTACAAACGAAGACACTAAGGCTAAGAGGTATTAAATTAAGTTGCCTAATGATTCAGTAAGTAACATAACAAAATACAACATAGGCATAAATCCATGCAATTTACTTCCTGGAATATTTAAAAGATACCTTTTTTTTTTTTTTTTCAATGAGACAAGGTCTCACACTGTTGCCCAAGCTAAAGTACAGTGGCATAGTCTCAGCTTACTACAACCTCCGTGTTCTGGGTTCAAGCCATTCTCATGCCTCAGGCTCCTGAGTGGCTGGAACTACAGGTGTGCACCACCACACCCAGCTAATTTTTGTATTTTTTGTAGAAGACTGGGTTTTGCAATGTTGGCCAGGCTGGTCTCAAACTCCTGGCCTCAAGGGATCCGCCTCCCTTAGTCTCCCAAAGTGCTGGGATTAAAGGCATGAGACACTGTGCCTGTCCTAAAAGATATCATTAGAGACTTCTTTTTTTGAGACAAGTCTTGCTCTGTTGCTCAGGCCGGAGTGCAGTGACGTGATCTCAGCTCACTGCAACATGCACCTTCCGAGTTCAAACAATTCTCCCGTCTCAGCCTCCTGAGTAGCTGAGATTACAGGCACGTGCCATCATAACCAGCTAATGTTTGTTTGTTTGTTTGTTTTTGACAGAGTCTTAGTCTGTCGCCAGGCTGGAGTGCAGTGGCACTACCTCAGCTCACTGCAACCTTCACCTCCCAGGTTCAAGCGATTTTCCTGCTTTAGCCTCCTGAGTAGCTGGGACTACAGGCACGCACCACCACGCCGGGCTATGTTTTAGTAGAGACGGGGTTTCACCATGTTGGCCAGGCTGGTCTCAGTCTCTTGACCTCAGGTGATCCACCCACCTTGTCCTCCCAAAGTGCTGGGATTACAGTCACAAGCCACTGCACCTGGCCAACTCTATTCTCATGATTTTTTCTAGGACCATGTTTAGATTGAGAATGAATTCACTAAAGCAATAAAGATATAACAGAATCTTTAATTTCCTATCTTGCTATTATGACAACAGCTTGCAGGACAAAAATACAGCACTGGTGTTTTAATAGTTTTAAAACTATTAAACAGACCTGATTATTCATTATGGAAAATGAACCTTCTGGCCAGGGGCAGTGGCTCACACCAGTAATCCCAGCACTTTGGGAGGTCAAGCAGGTGCATCAGCTGAGGTCAGGAGTTCGAGACCAGTCTGGCCAACATAGTGAAACCCCCTCTCTACTAAAAAAATACAAAAATTAGCTGGAAGTGATGGCACGTGCCTGTAATCCCAGCTACTCAGGAGGCTGAGGCAGGAGAATTGCATGAACTTGGGAGGCGGAGGTTATCTCATCATTGCACACCAGCATGGGCAATAGAGATTCTGTCTCAAAAAAAAAGAAATAAAAGAAAAGGAATCTTCTATCTGGTGCATGGTGGATCACACCTGTAATCCCAGCACTTTGAGAGGCTGAGGCTGGTGGATCATCTGAGATCAGGAGTTCGAAACCAGCCTGGCTAACATGTTGAAACCCCGTCTCTACTAAAAATACAAAATTAACTGAGCATGGTGGCAGGTGTCTGTAATCCCAGCTACTTGGGAGGCTGAGGCAGAAGAGTCACTTGAACCTGGGAGGAGGAGGTTGTAGTTAACTGAGATTGCAACATTGCAATCCAGCCTGGGCAAAAACAGCGAAACTGTCTCAAAAAAAAAGAAGGCCAGGCATGGTGGCTCATGCCTGTAATTCCAGCACTTTGGGAGGCTGAAGTAGGTGGGTCATGAGGTCAGGAGTTTGAGACCAGCCTGGCTAACCTGGTGAAACCCTATCTCTACTAAAAATACAAACATCAGCTGGGTGTGGTGGCGTGCATCTGTAGTCCCAGCTACTCAGGCAGCTGAGGCAGGGGAATCACTTGAACCCAGGAGGCAGAGGTTGCAGTAAGCCAAGAGTGTGCCACTGTACTCCAGCCTGGGCAAACAAGTGAGATTCAGTTAAAAAAAAAAAAAAAGCAGTGGCTCACTCCATAATCCCAGCACTTTGGGAGGCCAAGGCAGGCAGGGATCACCTGAGGTCAGACATTCAAGACCAGCCTGACCCACATGATAAAACCCTGTCTCTACTAAAAATACAAACATTAGTTGGGCATGGTGGCAGGAACCTGTAATCCCAGCTACTCAGGAGGCTAAGGCACGAGAATCGCCCCAGATCACGTCATTGCCTTTCAGCCTGGGTGACCCAGAGCCAGACTCCATCTCAAAAAAAGTAAAATGAACCTTCTGAGTAAGAAGAAATCCTCCATCCTACAGGAGTATATTTAAATAGATTGACAATAGGATATAATAGTTAAAATTCATTCAGTGCCTGGCCAGGCACAGTGGCTCATGCCTGTAATTCCAGCACTTTGGGAGGCTGAGGCGGGCAGATCACCTGAGGTCAGGAGTTCAAAACCAGCCTGGTCAACATGGTGAAACCCTGTCTCCAGTAAAAATACAAAAATTAGCCAGGCATGGTAATATGCACCTGTAATCCCAGCTACCCAGGAGACTGAGGCAAGAGAATTGCTTGAACCAAGGAGATAGAGTTTGCAGCGAGCTGAGATCGAGCCACCACGCACTTTAGCCTGAGCAACAGAGCAAGACTCCGTCTCAAAAAAATAAAAAATTACTCAGTGTCTATCATGTGCTGGGCAGGGTGCTAAGCACTTTACATGTATTAGATCATTTAATCCTTACATCCTCTCAACAAGATACTGTTTTTATCTTATTTTATAATAAGGAAACTAAAGGTCACTAAGCTACTAAGTGACAGAGCCAGGATTCAAAGGTGGACAATTTTCTAGGTGCTGACTCTTTTAGCCACTGTACATACGGCTAATCCTCATCTAACACTGCCAAGCGAAATAGGAAAACACATTTAAAATCAGTCTTTCTGTTCTAATTTTCATATTGCCTGTTTTAGGAGAGAGAATATCAAAAAGCAACAGTTTTATTTTAAATTTGAAAGAGATTAAATTTGGCAAAACATATGGTTGGCACAAAAATGCTTTTCTTAGCCATTAGGGAAAAGGTTCTAATTTGACAACTGAGAGTCATTTTTGCACTCTGCCATGCAATTCCAGCTAGCTGATATGAAACCATTTCGTGGATAAAGAAAAAATTGAAAGTGAACTCCCATACATTTTGCTTAAGTCACTGTCCTAATCAGATACCAGGCAAATCCTAAAAAATGAAAAAATAACCTCAATGTTCAAGTGCTTCCTTTAAAATATGTATATTTCCAGCAAGATATTCTTCTGAAAATCTGTGCTACAAGGGAATGATTTTTCAATGACACATTAAAGAAAGGGCTGCCAACCCTTCTGTAAATAATCTAACTCTGGTTCTGAATCAATCATTTATTGCAGCTTGTATTAATAATTTATTGCTAACCAAAATCTGCACACAGTACTTTGCCAGTATTTGAAGAATTAAATCTGTCTTTGGCTGGGTACATCAGCTCACATCTATAATCCCAGCACTCTGGGAGGCCAAGGCAGGAGGATCACTTGAGGTCAAAAGTTCGAGACCAGTCTGGGAAACAGAGAGCCTGTCTCTACAAAAAAATACAAAAATTGGTCAGTTGCAGTGGCATGTGTCTATAATCCCAGCTATATGGGAGGATGAGGCAAGCAGACTGCTTGAGCCCAGGAAGTAGAGGATGCAGTGAGCCAAGACAAAAAAAAAAAAAATCTGGCTTTATTCTACTCAATCAATTTGAGAAAAACTATACCTGCAGAAAGAAAAACTTTTAGAAATCCAATCAATTTGAGAAAAACTATACCTGCAGAAAGAAAAACTTTTAGAAATCCTTGAGGGTAAAAACTACAAATGCAAAAAAAGAAAAGTCAAGAGCATATACTGTATACTGTCTAAAGTAGAAAATATGAAAATGAATGACATCACCACAGAACTTATTACTTTTGACAATAAATAAAGCTATTACTAAAAAACTAATCTGAGGCTGGGCACAGTGGCTCATGCCTGTAATCCCAGCACTTTCAATTGCTGAACCAGGCAGGTTACTTGAGCTCTGGTGCTGGAGACCAGCCTAAGTAATGTAGTAAAACCTCATCTCTACAAAATATACAAAAATTAGCTGGGTGTGGTGGTACACACCTGTAGTCCCAGCTACTGGGGAGGCTGAGGTGGGAGGATGGCTGGAGCCCGGGAGGCAGAGGTTACAGCGAGATCACACCACTGCCCTTCAGCCTAGGCAACATAGTGAGATCCTGCTTAAAATAAAAAAACACCAAATTTGGATAGGTATTTAATAAAATCATTCCAATTACAGTCTCAATTGGGTTTAATTTGGTAATTTCAAAAATGACTCCCAGAAACATGCTCATGAAAATGTCATGAGAGTTACAACAGGATAGAATGATAAAATATATTTCTTCCTTTTTTTTTTTTTTTTTTTTTTGGAGACAGTGTCTCACTCTGCTGCCCAGGCTGAAGTGCAGTGGCATGATTACAGCTCTCTGCAGCCTCGACCTCCCAGGCTCAAGTGATTTTCCCATCTCAGCCTCCTGAGTAGCTGGGACTACAGGCACGCACCACCAGGCCCAGGTAATTTTTAAATTTTTTTTGTAGAGACAGGGTTTAACAATGTTGCTGAGGCTGGTCTCAAATTTCTTGGGCTCAAGGGATCTGCCCGCCTCAGCCTCTCAAAGTGTTGGGATTACAGGCATGAGCCACCACACCCAGTCTATTTCTTCCTATTATGCTTGGTACTAACAGGTACCTAAGTAGGTAGATGTAAACTCCCCCGAAATACAGATTAGTGTGCTTAAAGTCAATATCAATGACTAAAATTAATGGGTTTCCAATTTGAAAAGCCTTTATGACCATGTATTTCAGTCTTACAAAGTTTAAAAGTCTAATTAAAGTGGTTTAAGGGACTGGGTTACTCAGTATTTACAATATTTACATCTAAACTCTTCTATGATTCAAGGAGTCAGGCAAGCCTGCAGGAATGTGTTCCTCTTCTAGCCCCTGGCTACAGAAAGGGTAAGGTCTACCCTGATTTAACTCATGCTTTTAGCCAGAATCAGCCACCTTCCAGAGTATGGCCACAGGAATGGGTTCAAGCTAGTGATGGAAAGGAGAAGCTGAATTTATATGCTTACAGCTCCATAACACATATGAGTATACATTTACATACATACACATATGTAGACACACACACCCTCTCCCCTTAAGCTTCCTTAACTCTACATTATAGTCATCACACTTCAAATTATTTTCAAATCATTTCCTTATATCTATTTCCCATATTAAAGAAAATCAAAGTATATATCTTGTTAGCAATCAAGATTATTAACAAAACCATAGTAATTAATTTTGACAAAACAGTTTTTCTTTTTTTTGAACGTACTTTTTTACCACATCAAAACCCTGTGTTCTAAGGTCTGGATAAAAGCCATAAATTTACTAATTTTAGGGGTATTCTTATAAAAAAAAAAAAAAAAGCAGTAGCTTGAAACACATGGAATTATTTGAAACACAACCCCCATTTGAAACTTCTTTTTGAGACAGGGTTCCACTTGCCACCCATGCTGGAGCACAGTGGTATGATCACAGCTCACTTGCAAGCTTGAATTCCCGGCCTAAAGTGATAATCCCACCTCAGCCTCCCAAGCAGCTGGGACACCACCATGCCCTGCTATTTTTTTGTATTTTTTGTAGAGACAGGGTTTCACTGTGTTGCCTAGGCTGGTCTGAAACTCCTGGGGTCAAGCGATCCATCTGCCTCAGCCTCCCAAAGCAGTGGGATTACAGGCATGAGCCAACATACCCAGTCAGATTTTAACTTCTTTCTACAATATTTTCATTATCGTTTATTGAGCAACTCTTGTGCTGCAGGGAATGTGTTATACAAGATACTGAGATTTCATACATCTACTGGACAATGTCCTTGCAAATAAATTTTCTACTTAGAAGCCTATAAGAAAAATACAGCTTTTTTCTCAATATTCTTTCTAAAGGCTTCTAAATAGAAAATGTACATATTCTTATCCTTTATGATCCACAAAATCCCAGCACAGTTCCATTAGTTTCTGAAACATAATTGCTATAAAAGAGGTGAAATTTTACCTGGGTTACAAAAGGCTGCAGGTAGTGGGAAAAGTGGTCTTTGTACAAATTGATGCAGAGGCTGTTTCTGAATGGTGTATGGATTCTTCAACATGTGACAGAACCTACATTTAAAAACACATAATGAATGACATTTTAAGAGCTCTAATCTTTTAAAGTCAGTTTCTACTTCTCATGTATAAAAAAGACCTATGTAAAATTTAAACATAACCAGCAATAGAAATAATTAGAGAGCTGACTTTTCATTTTTCATCTACATTATTTCCACTTACTTAGGCAAGCAATATCTACAAACAATTCAAAATCAGACAGAGCTCACATGGAAATTCCTACCCTTGATAACTGGCTATGCATGGGATGATACTGCATCCAGGTATAAGAAACAGAATTGTATCTACATTAGTAACTGATAACCTGTAGTCCTAGACTCTCAGTTATGCACAAAGGAAGCAAAGACTATAAGCTTTTTTCTTTTTTAAAAAAATTTAGAACTAGGGGCTGGGCGCAGTGGCTCACGCCTGTAATCCCAGCACTTTGGTAGGCTGAGATGGGCTGATCACGAGGTCAGGAGTTTGAGACCAGCCTGGCCAACTTGGTGAAATTCCTTTTCTACTAAAGATACTAAAAAAATTAGCCAAGCATGGTGGCGTGCACCTGTAATCCCAGTTACTCGGGAGGCTGAGATAGGAGAATCGCTTGAACCCAGGAGGCAGCAGTTGCAGTGAGCTGACATCACACCACTGCACTCCAGTCTGGGTGACAGGGCGAGCCTCTGTCAAAAAAAAAAAAAAAAATTAGAACTAGGTAATAGAGTTAGATGGTTCAAAATTGATAAGAGAAAAAAGCATATATAGTGAAAGTCTCCCTCCATGTTTCCCTCTCTCATAACCCATATTACCTGTTTTGAAAAGTATTTCAATACTTCACAAAGTCTAATAGAAAGTATACTATTGGGCTGGGCACAGTGGTTCATGCATGTAATCCTAAAACTTTGGGAGGCCAAGGCAGGTGGATCACCTGAGGTCAGGAGTTCTAGATGAGCTTGGCCAACATGGTGAAAACCTGTCTCTACTAAAAATACAAAAAATAGCCAGGCTTGGTGGTGGGTGCCTGTAATCCCAGCTACTTGGGAGGCTGAGGTAGGAGAATCACTTCAACCCGGGAGGCTCAGATTGTGGCGATCTGAGATTGCACCATTGCATTCCAGTCTGGGCAATAGAGCAAGACAAGAAAGAAAGAGAAAGAAAAAGAGAGAGAGAGAGAGAAAGAAAAGGAAAGAAAAAAGGAAGAAAGGAAGGAGAGAGAGAGAAAGAAAGAAAAGAGAGAAAAGAAAAGAAGGGAGGGAGGGAAAGGAAGGGAGAGAGGAAGGCAGGGGAGGGGAGGGAGGGAGGCAGGGAGAGAAGGAGGGAAGGAAGAAAGAGAGAAATAATATTGTCCTTTTTTTTTTTTTGAGACAGGGTCTTGCTCTGTTGCCCAGGCTGAAGTGTGGTGACGAAATCCCAGCTTACTGCAACCTCCACCTGGGTGCAAATGATTCTCTTGCCTCAGCCTTCCTAGTAGGTGGGATTATAGGTGTATACCATCATACCTGGCTATTTTTTGTAGTTTTAGTAGAGACAGGGTTTCACCACGTTGGCCAGGCTGATCTTGAACTCCTGACTTCAAGTGATCCACCCACATCCGCATCCCAAAATGCTGAGATTACGCAGCCAACAATCTTGATAATGCTTTTCCTGTTTTATTCTGAGACAGGGTCTTGTTCTGTCACCCATGCTGGAGTGTGGTGGCATGATCAGGGTTCACTGCAGCCTTGATGTCCCAGGCTCAAGTGATTCTCCCACCTGACCCTCCCAAGTAGGTAAGACTACAGGCATGCACCACCATGCCCAGCTGTTTTTTTTTACTTTTTGTAGAGATGGGTTTTCACTATGTTGTTCAGACTGATCTCCAGCTCCTGGGCTCAAGCAATCCTCCCACTTTGGCCTCCCAAAGCACTGGGATTCTAGGTGTGATCCACCATGCCCTGCCTTTTATATGTTTTTTGGATGGAAACATATTAACCCAGTATAGTAACTTTACTTCACTCTTACAGAGAAAACTTAATTGGCTATTTTTGATGGCTTTGACAAACTGAAAACAAAGGAAGAAAAGCAAATAGTACTAGAAAAAGAAGTAAAAGGAGACTTTAATAGTGAAAATTCTTAGAATCCTAATGCAATTTACTTTAAAATCCAGTTTACTTGAAAATATCATTGCTATCCATTACAATTGCCACTTCATAGGAGCCATGGAAAAATTTTAAGCACAGGAGTCATTTATAATTGCCAATAGGTTCATTTTGTCCACTGTCCAGATACTACTAATTCATTAAGACAAGGGAATTGCAATGAAGAGTTCAATTCACACGGGACCAGCAGAAAGGGAGACTGGAGTTTTAGTACTCAAATAGTCTCTCTGAATCTGAGGTGAGGGATTTTCAAGGATAGATTGACAGGCCAGGGAATGGGTGCTGTTGATTGGTTGAGGATGCAATCATTGGGGTGTGGAAAATGGTCCTCCTGAGTGCTTAGTCTGTTTGTGGGTAGACCAGTGAGAAATGCAAAAACCTGAAAAGGCTAATCTTAGGTTCCACAAGAGTGTTGTCTGAAGGAGTAATTGGGGAAGTTGCAACTCTTATGACCTCCAGAATAATGGCAGGCAATCATTTACATCTATACCTTAGTAGAATTCAGGCTCCTCTCAACCTCCAAACCTGGTGGTCTTTCATTAGCTTTATAAAGGTGGTTTAATTTGGGGGAAGGGCTATTATCATTTGAACTATAAATGTCTCCCAAAGTTGGCTTGGCCAAGCCCAGGAATGGGCAGTCTAGAGGTTAAAGACAAAATGGTGGTTGGTTAGAACAGTCTTTCACTGTCACAATTTTCTGTTAAAATTTTTTGCAAAGGCAAAAATTGTGATCATACACAAGATCACTTAAAAAAAAAAAGATTTATCTAATTATTTTCTGCTTAAAATAGACAAGAAGCAACAGACGATGGCTGTCACTTTTTTCTCTCACAAAACTGGAATTCTGCTTGTGGAAAAGAATGAGTGGGCACAAATTAAGGATTAACAGAATACAGATTAACTGTTTCCTACCTTCAGTAATCCTGATATGCCATTGATAAGCAAAGCTACTTTACTAGGATACTGTAGGACTGTAACCCACAGTTTCTTAGATGCTATTGGAGAGATAAAAGGATTGGCACTGAGGATTCAAGAGAACAACGGAGTCAACACTGAATGGGACTCAAATAATCTGTGAAGTCCTGACTGCCGTTCCCCACACTAGCTCCAAACAGTATTGATCCCGGTAAGAGCTGTCACCACTTTAAATTATATGAATCTATTACAGCACTTACGACTTGTTAATATATCTTTCTTGCTAGACTGCATACTCAAATGGAGAAACTGTCTTCATTTCTAGCTGCTAGCACAATGGCCTCAGTTCTTCATCTCACAACAAAATTAATTTCACAGCTACCTCATAAAATATCCAAAAATCCATGTAAAGTGCTTAAACCAGTGCCAGGCCATGCAGTAAGTGCTCAATAAATGGCAGCTGCTACCATTTTATGTAATTGGTGCCCCAAAATTTCTAATTAAACGAGTGAAGTCCAAGGTTTGGGGTAAAAATACCTTTTTCTATAGCTCACTACCTGAATCTGCAGATGCACTGGAATTTGGAAATACACTGGAAGAATAATATTCTCGTCCCTTCAGCCCAGGGAAAAGGCAGCAGAATGAACAAAGCAGCAGCACATTCCGACATATGGGTTTAAAGTCTTGTTTTTAAGTTAAGAGTGGATTACATTATTCAAGGACGACGTCTACTCAAACACAGTAGGTAACTAACAAAAAATCCTTCTACCAACTTAAATCTTTTTAGGATATACATTTAAACCTCAATACATCATTAACACTAAAATGTCTGTTACTCGAGGGCAAATTCTCTGTAGGCTTTTTCTCCAGAAGTAAAATCAAGGTACACCTACATAAATGTCCTCTTAGCAATGTTCCGAGAAGTCTTTGGAAGGTGAAACTCAAAGGTACGGCTCAGGGAAGAAAAGCAAGGGAACGGAGTGGGCTTAATGGTGGTGCGTGCAGGGCATCTAGGGGTCTTAATTCTCTTCGGAGTTCCATCACTTAGAAACTGTGTGATCGTGGACATGTCACTTCCTCTTTCAGGGCCTTACTGGGAAAATGAAGAAACGAGACAAGGTATTTTCTTCCCTTCTGCGTGACAGTTTGATTCTGTGTTTAAAAGAGGACATGCACCTGGCAAAGGGCCTGGGGGCAGAGAGGCACATGATTTAAAAACAGCTCCTCCGTTCTGGCTCCATAGCCAGTCTCTACAGAGACTCAAGCACCGGGTCTCTGAGCCCGACACAAAGCTCCACAGAGTCAGCCCGGATTAGGCCACAAAAGCTCCGAGCTTCTGCACCTACAGCCACACACCTCAGGGCTCACCCCGAACTGCGGACCCGCCGGCTCCATCAGATGCACTACCCACCCGCCTCAAGAAAGGGTCTGCAAGGTGGCGACCGCTCCGCTGGCTAAGCCCAGCCGCACCCCTTTTCGGAGCTCCAGGCTCGTCACCTACCGCCTGCGCAGCCCCGCGGCAACAGCCGCAGCTCCCCAGCCCCGCCTGGCAGCCGCCGCCATCTTAATCCGGAGTGCCCAGGGGTGTCCCCGACAGAACCATTAAAGATCTGCGCAGGCGCAGGCTGGCAGGGAGCTGGGCGGCCACTTGGAAGAGCGCACCCCACCGGCTGCGGGTGGCGCTGCTGCGGATAAGTGCGGCGGCCTGCGCTTGGAGGTTTGCGGGCTGCTGCGACAGTCTGACCGAGAGAGGCGCGGGGGCGGGGGGAAAACTCTTTGCCGTTTGCGCAGGCGCCCTGGTTAATTCACATAGCACCCTGAACGCAGGCTGTTTCCGTACTTTGCTTTCACTGCTAGCTAGGTTTTTCAACTGGTGCTGGTCCTGCGGTTTCGAATGCTGTTCCTCGTCCCTAAACCTGACCCATTCCCCCATGTAGGACCCTACTCAGTCTCCAGGCCCAGCTCAGTGACTGCCCCTAAAGACTCCCCGCAGCATCCCCTCTCAAAGGTTCTCGCGTTTCTCTTCCCCATGGGTCTGATGTAGATGTGTTTCTAACCCTTCTTCATAGGCTGTGCTTGTCGCCCGCTACTCGGTCGTCTTGGACCAACCAGCACAGAGGACGTGCTGGTACAGTGCTGCCCTTTTCTGGATTAACATGGGCGTTGACTAGTTTCCAGAGCAGAGTTCCAAAGCCCATTACCTATTCTTCCAGAACCTTTCTGGGAAATTCAGTTTTCTCTAGAACAACGGTTCTCAAAGTGCGGACTAGAGGCCAAAAACGCCAGGAGAACACGGTAGAAATGCACGTTAGAACATGTTAGAAGTCCTGGGCCCCACTTTAGTCTTAGCAGAATCTCTATAGGTGGGGACTAGAAATGTTTTTGTTACTTGGTTTTTTTTGTTCGTTTGTTTTTTCTAGAGACGGGATCTATTTGTCGCCCACGCTGGAGAGCAGGAGTGCAATCATAGCTCACCAAAACCAACTCCTGGGCTCAAGTGATTCATCCTCCAGCTTCAGCTTCCCAAAGCGCTGGGATTACAAGTGTGAGCCACCGTGCCTGGCTATTTTTATTATTAGTAGTAGTAGTCGTATTTTTATAGAGAAGAGGTCTCCCTATGTTGCCTGGGCTGCTCTTGAACTGCTGGCCTCAAGTGATCCCTCTCACCTAGGCCTCCAAAAGCTCTTAGGTTACCTTGCCCTGCCTAGTAATGTTTTTATTTTATTTTTAGAAATGGGGTTTCACTTTGTTGGTCAGGGTGGTTTCAAACTCCTGATCTCAGGTGATCCACTCACCTCGGCCTCCCAAAGTGCTGGGATTACAGGCGTGAGCCACTACGCCCAGCCTTGCCTAGTAGTGTTTTAACAAACTCTTCCCAGGATTCTGATGCCTGCTGAATTTTATTTTAGTTTTTATTTTTTCTTTTCATTTATATATTTTTATTTGGAAATGTTTATATCAGTACAAGGAAACAATTTTGGAGACACTAAATGTCATCAGTTATCATTAGTTTATTATAAAAGAGAGAGATGAAAACTATTTACATGATGGAAGATTTCAGAACTTCAGTGGAATGGGCAGCTTCACATTGATGCCATTTCAATAGTGACTTATTTCAGTCTACATACTTTCCAAGAATGTCACCGTCTCTAAATAGGAAGTAATCCTTGTCATCTAGAACTAGTTTGGTGCCTCCATATTCTGGGAGAAGAACTTGATCTCCAACTTTCATGCTAACTGGTTGAATCTCTCCACCCTTTCCTTTAGAACCCAATCCAACAGCGACTACAGTTGCTTGCAATACTTTTCCTTGAGATTTTTCTGGAAGCACAATGCCTCCTTTGGTTACAGTCTCAGTAGCACTCCTTTCAACCAATACTCGGTCAAAGAGTGGGAGAAACTTTCTAAACGCCTGTCCTGCCGTGACTCCCTCAGCCTCAGACTCGTACTCTACTCTGGCGCACCGCGGCAAGGAGAGCACCTGCTGAATTTTAAAACCACAATTCTGGAAGACAGAGGACTGGTTTCTAGAATGGAGACAGCACACCTGTTGATGAACAGGTTGAGACCACACCCAAGACAACCCTAGTCATTTCTATGGCCCAGAGACACATCTAAGAGGGTGGGTGGAGTTTCAGGCCTGCAGCTCGCAGCAGTTTCAGCGCTGAGTGGGCTGTGCCTCCTTTTGGTTTGCTTCCCAATGTTGCCTACTTGTTTTTAACCACCAGTGGTCTCTCTCTGTCCCAACCCCCACCCCACCATTCTAGACCTCAAGGTTGAGACAGTCCAAGACTCTCTTGTTGACCCTGAATCAAGAATAAAATGTGGCTCTTCCACCTGGGAACAAATGTTCGGTCCTCATTGTTTCCTCTCGTGTAGATTCCTCATCATAAGAAAAATCCTCCCAGACCCAAATCCTCTTCTACTCTCTTTTCTTCCCTTCAGAGCCAAGTGGCTTTAAAAAGTTGTCTACACTCTTAGTCTCTAGCTTTTCACTTTCCACTCCGCAAGCCACTGAAAGGAGACTTCTGTGTCCCATCATTCCCTGGACCTGCTCTAGTCAGACCACCCACAGGCTCTCTGCTGCTAACCTCAAGGACCGTTTTCCATCCTTTCTTGACCTCCACAACATCAGAGGCTGAGGAGCTCTCCCTCCCTTTTATAATCTTATTTCTTGGCTTTCCAGGAATCACACATTTTCCCTATTTTCCCTGCTACTTTTTTGGTTAGTCCTCCCCAGATTCCCTTGCACGGTTTCATCTGCTTACCCCTCCATGTTGGTGCTTTTTGGACCCCCATTCCAGGCCCTCTTCTCTTCCCTTTCTTTTGTGATTGACAAATTTCACCAAGTAGCATTTCTGTCAGCCACCAGAATATGTTTCTCTCTCTTGCAAAATCTGGGTTAACAAAACATTAATTTTTGCCAATTATTATCACTTAGATTAAATAAAAATAAAGCAGATTAGAAACAGTGTGTATAGGGTGATCTCATTTATATAAAATTGTGTGTCTGTGTGTGCTTGTATATGTGTGCACAAGAGGTGTCTGAAAGCAGATTGTCCACTTTCTCTCTCACACTCCCATCCTTAATTCCTTAAATATGATAAATTATTTTTCCCTTAGGGCCTTTGCATAAGTTCTTCCCCCTACAGAGAATGCCTTTCCCCTCCTCTTTTCTTAACTCCCTTGTACTGAGTCCCCCAGGTCTGGGCCTAAATACCCCTTCCTTAAGGTCCCCTGTTACCTCCATCTAAATTGTCTCCTCTGTTACCCTCTCTCAAAACACCCTGTCCTTTTCTTTCATAGCACAGTCTCACAACTTGAAATGATGAATTTGGATACTGATTAATGATCCTTTCACCTGCTGTACTCTAAGCTCACTGAAGGACGTGTCAGTCTCTCTTGTTTTTCTTTCGTTTTGAGATAAGGGCCTCACTCTGTCGCCCAGGCTGAAGTGCAGTGGTGCAATCATAGCTGACTGCAGCCTCGAATTCCTGGGCTGAAGCGATGCTCCTGCCTCAGACTCGTGAGGGACATATCAGCCTCCTTACTTTTGTATCCTTAGCACCTAGTAAGTGCCTGGCACACAGTAGGTGTTCAAAAAGAATTTGTTGAGTGAATGAATGAAGACATCTCAACTCTTTGTCAAATTCAGTACACTTTTTCACCCTGTATGATGGTTGTGTATACAGCAGAAAGGGAAAGTCAAGAAGGAAAGGGTGGCCCTCTCCAGTTCACCCCTCGCCTGGTGCTGTGCCAAGCCAGGGTGCAGCATTTTATGGAGAAGACTGTATCCAGTGGCATGTGAAGCTAGGGACAGCAGCCAGGAGCAGAGGTGAAACAGCTTTTCCTTCTTCCCACGTATACTAGAGAGTGGGCAACTTTTTAGGAAAAAGAACAAATACAACTTGAGATACTTATAGCTCTATAACCCCCATAACACACGCATATACACATACACACATGCACCATCATACATACATTCATAACTGATAGACAACTGATGTTTTCTCTGATATCTTAGCAAAGATGTTTTATTGGTTGACTAAGAAGATTCCCAGACCATGTGCCAAAGACCAAAAGGTCATTTACTCATACATCTATTCATTGATTCAATAACTATTGATCAACAGTGGGTTCTTGCTGCTGGGCACCATTGAGGATTGTGGCAGACAATGCTAGGTACCTTGCAATATCTATTTCTCCCTTCTTCCTTACCTGTGAACACTGATTTTGTTCACATAGCAATGAGTCCAATTTAAGAAACCTATTTCTCAGCCTCCCTTGCACCTAGTGGGTATAAACTGTAAAGACTGCTTGAATTAGGGAGGTCAAGGCTGCACTAAGCCATGATTATGCTGCTGCACTCCAGCCTGGGTAACAAGAGCGAAACTGCTGTGGTAGCCACACATCCTACAGTTCAACGTGCATAGCCAGTCACTGACAATGTTATTTCTGTAAACCAGTAAGAATACCTGCTGAGCATGGTGGCTCACACTTACAATCCCAACACGTTGGGAGGCCGAGGCAGGCAAATTGCTTGAGCCCAGGAGTTTGAGACCAGCTTGAGAAACAGGGAGGGATTACAAGCATGAGCCACTGCACCTGGCAGAATATCTGAGGGAGATGAGCCCTTTAAATTACCAGGCCCATTGACTAGCTTTAAAAAAAAGTATCAGGGCAGGGTGCTGTGGCTCATGCCTGTAATCCCAGCATGTTGGGAGTCTCTACCAGCAAATGCTGTCTCCACAAAAAATTAGTCAGACATGGTGGCACATGCCTGCAGTGCCAGCTATTTGAAAGGCTAAGGTGGGAGAATCACCTGAGCCTGGGAAGCTGAGGCTGCAGTGAGCTGTGATTGCACCACTGCACTCCAGCCTGGGTGACAGCGTAAGACTGTGTCTCAAGGAAAAAAATTAAAAAGTCCAATGAGAGTGCCTGATGAGCAACTTTTGTAATTGTTCTCCTCCCCTGATTTGTGTCTTTTTCTTTAAAAAGTTGAGCCTCTCCTTTGTTCCCCAGAGCACTCTCCAAAACAACCTGGAAGCATGACCAGGGCTATAGTCCTCAACCTTGGCCCAAATAAATTCTCTATTAATTAATTTTCCCTCAGCTTCTTCCTTTTAGGTCAACATTTGCTCACAGTACTGTTTAATTAGGTTTCCTGTTACTCAGAGATGATCAAATCCTTCATGGAGTGATATTAAAATGAACAAAACAATTTCTGTCTCAGGGAGCTCCTGGAGAAGAGGTGTAAATCAACAAAAGCACTAGGGGAATAGACTGCTATGTGGGGGACAGGAAGCCTTGTCGAATGTGAAATGGTGTTTAATTTTCTTTGGGTTAATGTGTGTTCCAAAATTGTGTGAGATTCCTGTAATTCTGATATATCTTATCATATAATATCAGTAATAATTATAATTATTATGTTAAATTGTTGTGTGCCACAGAAATCACCAAATTTCCTTGCCAACTGTGTGTTTAACCATGGCTGTTCTAGGAGCTTTGTCATCCACAAACAATTGTTTTATTTTAAGTCTTCTCAAAAAGTAGTGTGTATTCTTCTTTAAGGAAATTTTCTTCTTTAAAGAAATTCATGGAAAGGACTGACAAGTACTCTTGAATACAAATTTCTGATAACTTTGGAGATCATACCATTGGACTATGAAAATACCTTCTAGGGCCAGGTACAGTGGCTCACGCCTGTAATCCCAGCACTTTGGGAGGCTGAGACGGGTGGATTATGAGGTCAGGAGATCAAGACTATCCTGGCTAACATGGTGAAAACCTGTCTCTGCTAAAAATACAAAAAAATAGCTGGGCATGATGGCACGTGCCTGTAGTCCCAGCTACTAGGGAGGTTGAGGCAGGAAAATTGCTTGAACCTTGGAGGCAGAGGTTGCAGTGAGCTGAGATCGTGCCACTGCACTCCAGCCTGGGCAACAGAGCGTGACTCCATCTCAAAAACAACAACAACAAAACACGAAAGAAACCTTGTTGAATGGATGAACTAGCTTTCCTAATCTGTAAAATGTAGGAAGCAATACCTATTGAAAACGCTTGAGTGTTAGAGAAAATGCATTAAAAGTGCCTTGAACTTGTCACATAGGTAGCTGTAATGATGCTGTTGCTTTATTCTCCTGTAACACTTTTAGATTCATTCCTGACATTCTACAAGGAGTGATATCTGAGGTCAGCCGACTAATCTGTGTTTTTCCTTGAAATGAGATGGATTTGAGCATTTCTGCTGGGCTGATGTGGCAGGTGCAACAGAGAAATATTTACCGGAGGCATGGTGAAGCCTTCTGGGAGAGAATTCATCCTGGGGAAAAATTCCTCTCTTGAGGAAAGAGTCAGTTCGTATGTTTGATCAAAGGTCAGGGAGCCCAGATGCTCAGACTCTCTTCTGGACAAACCCCCATGAACTCTGCCTCAGGCTCAGGGAGAGGGTTTGAAACAAAAGTGGCATTCAAAAGTTGTTTCATTAAAACATCTAGGTCTGTGTGAGCCCTGAGCCCAGGGTTCTGCTGCTTTCTAGCCAGTGAAAGGAGTGGGGCATGTTGTACCCCAGTGGGACCAGTGGAGCACAGTTAACTGCTGATTGGATGTGAGGGTCTGAAGCAGGCTGCAGAAGCCCCCATCTGGGGAACAGGGGAAGTGGGAAGACATTACACCATAGGTGCCTTGGCCTTGTTAAATAAAATTATGGGAGTCCATTGTTTTGGACTGAGCCCCTGTACTAGGTCCCAACAGACCAGACCAAACCAAAATGGAGTGACTCATGCTAAATGCCACGTAATCAAACTGAAACTCAAAGAAGGCAGATAGATCCCCCAACAGACCTGTTTCTTTTTTTCTACTGAAAACAGGAGATTCCAGCATGATAAGGAAGTCCCCCTCTGCTCTAACCCTTAGCCAATCAGGTTTTTTTCTATTGTTCTGTTTCTTTGTTCCCACCTTACAAAACCCACTGTTCTTCTATTTATCAATGAAATTTGAGACCAAATAATTCCATGTATGATGGTGACAGAATTACATCAATGCCTAAAGTTTTACTTAATCTCTCAAATTGAGGGGTTGTTCAAAAGGAGGAAATGGTTAAGTTTGGCCTAAAGCTGCCTCCGTACCTATTTTAAGTTAGGTTTCTCTAAACACAGTGAATTGTAACCCAACTTGATGTGTAAACATACTCTTCTAACAAGCAATGAGTCTCAGCCAGTCACAGGAGCCAAATTTCAGTCAACCACGGGCAGTCAGATGTTCAAACCAGGTCAAATAAGGTAAATCCCCAGTTGTCACCAATTGAGCTGTTTCTGTACCTCACTTCTGTTTTCTATAGATCACTTTCCTTTTTCTGTCCATAAATCTTATCCAGTCGTGTGACAGTCCTGGAGTCGCTCTGAATCTATTCTGGTTCTGGGAGCTGCCTCATTTGTGAATCATTCTTTGCTCAATTAAGCTCTGTTAAATTTAATTTGTCTAAAATTTTTCTGTTAACAACCTTCTGGGGCTGATTTGGTGGCAGGCAGCAGAGCAGTTGAAGAAGAAAATGAGTAAATGGTAGCAGAACAGAACCTATTCCAAGCACACATGATCCCAGGAATGGATGGAAAGAGATGTCAGTCATTATTTCCACAGGGAAGGTGGGAGCAGAGACTGAGCCACATTGTACTGTGAACTTATTTTTACTGAGAGATTGGTGAAGGTTTCACAAAAGGTTAAGCAGATAACAGTGAAGATAGTACCTTCCATTTATCACTCTAATTACATACAGCCTCCTTTACACTGCCTTTTGCTTGTTAATAAAGTGGGGGAAAAAATCTTCTTTCTTAAATAATCCAGAATAAACCTTTCATATATTTAAGACACAGTCTTGCTCTGTCTCCTAGGCTGGAATGAAGTGGTGGGATCATGGTATACTACAGCTTCAAACTCCTGGGCTCAAGTGATCCTTCCACCTCTGCCTCCTGAGTAGCTGGGACTAGACATGTACATCACAGTGCCCAGTTATTTTTTTATCTTTATTTTTGTAGAGATGGGGTCTCACTATGTTGCACAGGTTGTTCTCAAACTCCTCAAGCAATCTTCCCACATCCTTCTCCCAAAGTGCTGGGATTACAGGCCTGAGCCACCATGCCAGACCTGGAATAAACATTTTAAAACAAAGTTCCTGCTTTTATATTTCCCAAAATTTCTCTACAAGCTTTGTAGCTCTTCTACTATTTTTTACCTGATGATTACCTCAATAACCAACAAAATCTTGATTTCCTTCATCAAACTGTACTTCTCTCCTTTTACCTCCAAAGTCAGGTGTCCTTAGATTTGAGATCTAAGAGAATACCTGGGAACACCTGGTCATTCAGGTTTGTAGCTCTGTATACGTAGATATAGCTGGAGGGCTACCTCTTCTGGCTATGAAGGGTGTGTCCTGCTTAACTCCAGGGGCCACAATAAAATAGGATGCAATGTGAATCCTTACAGGAGTTACCCAGCATGGTAGCCCTGTGTAACAGGGTATGGACTGGGACTTTCCTCCTGACTTAGAGTTTTGGCTTAAGCTTCCAAGTCAAGGACATTGGGTGATAAGCCCAAAAACATTTTAAAGTGGTTAGGCTTCCTGAAAGATGTTTAAAAAACAAAACAAAACAAAACAAAACGGTGACACCTCCACCCAACCCATCCAGGTTACATAAGACAAGCCAACCGAGACTCATAGGTCCCAGGGTGCCTATGATAGAGGAGTATGAAGTCTCGCTCCCTGGCTGCAGGATTCCTGACCTGCAGAAATTTTTGGGTCAGTCTCCCTGTAAGATAGTCCTTGGAGTGTCCTCAGGAGTTTGGGGATAAATTCCAGAGATGGGAGGCGGGTCCAAGTAGCCCACAAGTGGCACAGCAAAGAGACAGGGAACAGGAGACCAGCTTGCATTCCCGATATTTGGTGAGACAAGGATGCCAAGACTTTCCCATGGGCCAAGCAGGCTCTGCAGAAGCAAGCCAGGCTGAGCTGTGGTGGAGGGATTCTGCTAATGAGGGGCCCTAGCAGGGAAGGGGACCCCAGATTGCTGAGTAGAATGTGCTTATCAGGGGCAGGAGGTGAGAGGAGCAGGTTGCAAGAATTAGTTAGAGTGGGGGTCAAATCACTTTTCTGTAAAGGACCAGAGGGTAAATATTTTTGTCTTTGCAGACCATATGGTCTCTTTTGCAGTGCCTCCACTGTGTCCTTACAGAGTAAAAGCAGCCATAGGCAATACAAAAAATGAAAGTGTGGCTGTGTTTCCATACAGAAAGTCTTGAGTTCCACTTCCTGTGGGAGGGATTAATTGAATTTCTGTGTGAGAGATTTTCCCCCCCATTTATCCTGTTTATTTATTCAATCATTTTTTAATACCAGTATGGGCTCATGGATGTTTATCCTATGTGTTATAATCTGATAATATAGTGTTTATTTTATTGCTCAATTTGTTCTAGTTTTGACCATTGGGAGTTTTTTCAGATTGGCTCTTGTGTTCCCATGACACTTTTTTTTTCCATTTTTCTTTTGGTAGAGATGGGAATTCAATGTGTTTGCCCAGGCTGGTCTCGGATGCCTAGTCCAAAATGATTCTCCTGTCTTGGCTTCCTCTGTGCCGGGATCACAGACATGGGCCATCATGTCTGGCATATAGATACACACACACACACACACACACACACACACACACACACACACACATTTTTCTGAAACAAGATCTTCCTTGCTTTGTCATCCATGTCAGAAAACACAAAAACAAAAACAAAAAAAACGTTAAAGTGGTAAATTTTAGCCTGGGCAATATAGTGAGACCTCATTTCCACAAAAGATTAAAAAATTAGCTAAGTTTGGTAATTCACATCTGTAGTCTCAGCTACTCAGGAGGCTGAGATGGGAGGATCACCTGAGCCATTGAGTCATGGAGGTGGAGGCTGCAGTGAGCCAACATCATGCCATCACTCCAGCCTGAGCAAAACTCTAGTTTTGCCTTGGTTGCCCAAGCTGGAATGCAATGGCATGATCTCGGCTCATCACAACCAATGAGGGAGTGAGGCACTGTGCCCAGCCTAACATTTTTAAATTTAAATTTTAATTTTGTTTGAGACAAGATCTCACTTTGTCATCCAGGCTGGAGTGGTGGCATGATCTTGGCTCATAGCAGCCTTCACCTCCATGGCCCAAGTGATCCTCCCTTCTCAACCTCCTAAGTAGGTGTGAACCACCACACTCAGCTAATTTTTAAATTTTTGTGGAAATGAGGTCTCACTATATTGCCCAGGCTAAAATTTACCACTTTAACTTTTTTTTTTGAGATGGAGTTTCACTTTTGTTACCCAGGCTGGAGTGCAATGGCGTGATCTCAGATCATCGCAACCTCCTCCTCCTGGGTTCAAGCAATTCTCCTGCCTCAGTCTCCAGAGTAGCTGGGATTACAGGCATGAGCTACCGTGCCCAGCTAATTTTGTATTTTTTTTTTTTAGTAGAGACGGGGTTTCTCCATATTGTTCAGGCTGGTCTCAAACTCCTGACCTCAGGTGATCCACCCACCTCAGCCTCCCAAAGTGCTGAGATTACAGGGATGAGCCACCATGCCCGGCCTAACATTTTTTTTTTAAGTGGGGTCTCACTCTGTTGCGCAAGCTGGAGTACAGTGGTGCCATCTTGGCTCACTGCAACCTCCACCTCCCACCTCAGCCTCCCAAGTAGCTGGGACTACAGGGGCATGCCACCATGCCTTGCTAATTTTTGTAATTTTGGAGGGGTGGGTAGAGATAGGGTTTCACCTTCTTGGCCAGGCTGGTCTCGAACTCCACCCACCTTGGCCTCCCAAAGTGCTGGGATTACAGGTCTGAACCACTGTACCAGGCCCATTTTATTTTATTTTATTTTGAGACAGAGTCTGGCTCTGTCGCCAGGCTGGAGTGCAATGGCAAGACCTTGGCTCACTACAACCTCCACCTCCCGGGTTCAAGTGATTCTCCTGCCTCAGCCTCCTGAGTAACTGGGACTACATGTGCCCGCCACCATGCCCAGCTGATTTTTTGTATCTTTAGTAGAGACAGGTTTTCACCACGTTAGCCAGGATGGTCTTGCTCTCCTGACCTCATGATCCACCTGTCTCAGCCTCCCAAAGTGCTGGGATTACAGGGGTGAGCCACTGCGCCTGGTCCCATTTTCTTTTTAAAGTACTTTTTAACCTTCTGACACTGCAGTACAAGATGCTCCTGGTTCATCTTGTATATTTCCTGTGCTAGCCCCAGAATCAGCCATTTCTCCATGGAGCCCTGGCTCTTTTTATTAGAGAATGGTATTTAAAAACCACGAGCTGAGTGCTAGGAGTGCTTGTCCCTTTACATTTTACTCTTATTCCTTCATCTGTTTCTTCTCTACAGATTGTTTCTCCTCTGCTGCTGAGCGTAGCTGCTTGATCATTCAAATATGCCCAAGTGCTTCTCCCATTAGTCCTTCATGCATGTCCGCACCTGGGCTGCATTCTGAAGAGAATATGTCTCTTTTTGGGGCCTCTGGGCTAAGCTTATATAATAGCAGGTTGAGGGACTACTTGGTCTCCTTTCATGTAATCTGACATGCTAAGCTAAGCCCTTACTACTTACTCTTACTACTCCAATATAAGAAAAGAGGAACTCAAGGAAAAATACGTAAGAGGGGAGGGGGAAATAACTTTGACTTAAATCTAGAGAAGCAGATCTAAACCATCTGCTCATGGCTTTCCCCTGGGTCTCACCTTGGTTCCTCCCAGTTGGCTGTTAGGGGGTGATACAAGGGCACCTTCTCCCTGGCTGGTCTATTACCAACCAGCCTAAAGGGCAAAAGTGAGACACAAGTGAATGCAGAGCCCACTTGTGGGAGCTTGTGCTTAAAACTCCTGTGTTCCCTACTTGGAAGGCAGGGCCCACCTTAACAGAAGGCTCAGTGGCAGTGGAAGAGCTTCCCCCAAAGCAACTGCGGAGGAACAGATAAAAAAGACTGTGCTTTTGCTTAATGTTAACTTGAAATAGGAAAAGCATAAGAACTTCACATTGTAGAATTTGGTGGGGTATATATTTAGGTCTTAAATTTTCAGAAGTAGGCAACTTTGGCTTCACTCATGCATATAACACCAGAACTTTTTGGATTCCTGGGTCTTGTTCAAACACCACCTCTGCAAACTCAGCAGAGGTGTTACCCATTCTCCCTGAATCATGACGAAGTCAAGCTCATTAAAGTTCATGCAAATACCACTCTGTGTTATTTTCTCAAATTTGGAGAGGAAATAGGCAGGTCCTCCTTCCCAGTATGGATTTTTAAAATTCTTAGGTATATTTTTTCCTAAGACTTCTCTCTTGAGGTTAATGCTGGCCTCTCTTCAGGAATATAAAAGTATACTACTAGGCTTCACACTAAGTGAAAGATACCTATGAATCACACTAAGTGAAAGATACCTATGAATACCTTCAATCCTAGGGACATCTGAGTTAAGAAACAGCACAAAGCATAAATCATTTAATTAGGTCCATTTTAATAAAGGGTATAGGAGTTTACAACTCAAAACAATTCATAAAAACTATCAGATACATATGATAAATCACACCAAGAGTGCAGTATCATAAATCCAATGGTCTGCAAATAAGAGGTATTGCAAAATTGTTAAGATTGACTTTCATGTTTTCTCCCCTCCTTTCTCTTGTTCACAGCCCAAGATCATGTGCACATTGTTTTCTGAGGCCTGATGACTTCAATACTCCTTCTGGCTGGGGTGACCTCCTCATTTAATCCATTTCAAATAGTCAGCAAAGGGAGTTCACCTCTTCTCCACGGAATGAGCATGGTCCTTGTCCTTTATTATTTGGTTTCTATCCCCTAACAAATGACATTAAATATTCCCTCATTCAAAACATATTGTGGCCTTGTTGTGTTCTGGTCACTGCTGCCCTCCCAATGTGACACAGGAGCCCTCAGGATGAGCCCTACAGAGTTTTATCCTTGTGGATAAGATGTATACTTGGGAATGAAGCTAAAGTCATGGCTGATTTCCCTAACCTTTTATCGAGAACTCCAGTTGTAACTTTCTGGCAAAAGGAACCAAATTTACTCATGCCAAATACCTATGGTCACTTCTCAGTACTCTTCGGATGCCTTTATTAGGAAAGCCTGAATTAACACTACAGACGAAAGCATGAGGATGAATAAGCACACACACAGACACAGAAACACACATACCCCATTCACACTCAAATGGGAATCTCTGGTAGACTCAAAGAATACAGCTAACTAGCCATTTCAGAGTGAAAAGCCTGCACTGTCTCACCCTGCCCCCAAAGACTAACCTATCCTACTTTAACTGGTATGGGTAAAAACCAATTCTGCAATTCCTATATGTACATGTTAAAGGGATCCATTTGATTCCTTTAATGTGTACATATAGTTCCGTTACAAGGCAATGCAGGTAACACTAACTTGGTTTCAAGAGCATTGTCAAAACTGGGGCACACATATTCCTATTAGAGATGGCTGGGAGACAGCTGGGAATAAATTTATGGAATTACAAATTATGGGAATACTGGACTAAGCCATGAATGGTTAACATGTAGCCATTTCTGCCAGCTATTCTAGAGTCCATTCACACATAAACTTGACCCTGCATTCCAGGAGAGGTCCCTCTGGGTTGTGTCACTATAGAGTAAGGCTGGGGTCCTGCCAACCCACCTTTCTTTTAGTTCATAATAGGGAAGTGAGTCATTTTTTTCTTTTCTTTTCTTTTTTTTGAGACAGGGTCTGGCTCTACTGCATCGAGGCTAGAGTGCAGTGACACAATCTTGGCTTACTGCAACCTCCTGTGCTCAAGCCATCCTCCTATCTAAGCCTCCTAAGTAGCTGGGACTACAGGTGTCCACCACCATGCCTGACTAATTTTTGTAGAGACAGGGTTTTGGCACTTTGTCCAGGCTGGTCTTGAACCGGTGAGCTCAAGCAATCTGCCCACCTCAACCTCCCAAAGTGCTGGGATTATAGGTGTGAGCCACCACACCCCACCCATCTCATTCTTATTGGTGAGATTGTCACAGACTTGGCTGAAATTTAAGAAGAAACTGTTTACAGCAACAAAGGATGCAATTAAAGTTTACATGATCATTCAACTGTGCCTTTCATCATGGACTTATTGATATGCTCAAAATAGCAGAATGTCAAGTAAGGAAATGAAGTGAGAACAGGAACAAGGGAGGTAAGCCAGGAAGACTTCCAGGGACTTGAACAAAAACAATTCCCAACCACATACTACTTTTTATTTTCAAGCATTTTGAAACTCTTCTTTTCCTTTAGTGATGTTTTCAGTAACAAATCTGCAAGTGTTCTTGGTGGTGAAAAAACAAAACAAAACTACAAGTATCAGTTACGAAAGACAAAGAAAAGACTAAGAATTTAAATTAGATAATCCCATTTAAATTTTTCAGTGTTTACTTCTTTAGATGGAATTGGAACATTAGAACTCAGGGGTGGTTTGGACATTAACGAGGTACTCCTGCCTCCTCAGAGGCTACAGTCTTTTCTGCAGCTTTCTTATGTATCTTTCATCAAAATAATTTGGGTTCCAGATTTCTCAGATAAAACCACATCTGTGAGACCAGCAACCATTTCACAGTTGACTGGTATGTGTTCTCCAATTTCAGTTCCAAACACACAACAGAGAATCACACTTTTCTTTATTAAAGGGACTCAAATGTTTTTAAGCTGTATTCTTCCTGCCAGAGAATGAATTAAGTAGCATCCTTCTCTCATTTCCTATAATAAAATTTCCTATGTGATATACTGCACACACATTATATCTGATAATATGTTTTGATTCTTTTTCTTTAGGGAAGCAAATATAGAATTTCCATTGTCAGATTATTCTGATGATTATAATCTCATTCCATTTTGCATTAGTGAAATGTCCACCAAGTAGTTGAAAACACTGATGTACATGTATTCTAAATCTTACTAAATAATGGGCCAGTAAGATACTGGTATCTTTTAGAACATTTAGAAAGAGATCTTAGTTGTGCGAGACAACTCGGATACAACATGGGCCTGTAAACACATACATTCTAGTATACACATGAGACTTTTCAACTCAGTAATAAGTGGGCCCAAAACAAAATAGGGTGTATGACCCAGACTCCCTACGTGCTGCCCAGCAGCTGCTTCAGCATCAAATTGCATTCATCCCATTTTCTAATCTTACCAAGCACTTGGAGCTAAAGAGCTGTATGTAAGCCCAAGAAACAAATATATTAAATATTTTTCACCACATATGACATCATTAATTCAATAGTTCCTGTTAATCAATTAATGTGGATTCTTTCAGGGTTCATCAATGCATGTGTGGCTCAATGCTTTATGAATAAATATATTCTGGCTCATTGCTTTCCACTGAAATGAAAGGACACAAGCTCTATATTTCCTATCAAATGTGTAAAGCAAAAACACAACAAATTAAAACAAGAAGTATAGTCATTTGTTGATTATATGCAGTCTTGTGCTGCATAAAAACGATTCCATCAATGATGAACAGCATATATTATGATGGTCCCATAAAATTATACCATATTTTTACTGTACCTTTTCTATATCTACATGGATACACTAAGATTTACCATTGTGTTACAACTGCCTACAGTATTCAGTACAGAACATGCTGTACAGTTTGTAGCCTAGGAGCAATAGGCTAGACCATATAGCCTAGGTAGATATTAGGCTGTATTATCTGTGCTAAGTACACTCTGTGATGTTCACACAATGACAAAAATCACCTAAGGATGCATTTCTCTGACAGTTTCCCCCATCATTAAGTGATGCATGACTGTATTTTTTTTCTCTTTAAGGAAATAAGACCCTACTGTAATACAAGTCTGCAGAATCTAACAGTTACTAATAATTAGCGTAATCTACAAGTCAAAGTTTTTTCATGTATCACTAAGAAAAAAAAACAAGAGTAATTTGCATGTGTTTACATCCATTTCTGTATTCAAAGAAGGTATGTAGAGTCTCCACCCACCTTATCTCCAGCGACAATTTTTTTTTTCAGATGGAGCTTTGCTCCTCGCCCAGGCTGGAGTGCAATGGCACAATCTCAGCTCACTGCAACCTTCACCTCCTGGGTTCAAGCAATTCTCCTGCCTCAGCCTCCCTAGTAGCTTGGGCTACCATGCCTGGCTAATTTTTGTATTTTTAGTAGAGATGGGGTTTCACCATGTTGGCCAGGCTAATCTCAAACTCCTGGCCTCAACTGATCCACCTGCCTTGGCCTCCCAAAGTGCTGGGATTACAGGTATGAGCCACTGGCCTCCAGTGAAAAACTTAAAAAGGATACAAGCTCATGTTTGATGAAGTAGTCAACTATAGTAAAATCACCATGATTTTATTCTGATTTTGACCTTGAGAATTAAAATAGTCACTTGATTAGAAGAGAATTATCAAGTAACCAAAGAAAAAACATTTTGCAGGGCTGTTACAGAGATAATCCTGAATATTTGGAAGGGGGAATTTCTAGGCTGGGTACAGTGGTGAACCCAGGAGACAGAGGTTGTAGTGAGCTGAGATCACACCATGCCTGGGCAACACAGTTGGACTCCATCTTGGGAAAAAAAATAGTTCTCAGTTGGGGTGAGAACTCTCCCTGCTCTCCCTGAATATTCCTGGCCTCATGGTTCATGCTTTTGAGGGTTTCACTTGATAATGGACATGGGAAGAATCTGGGGTGCAAAGTTCCATGTGCATTAGCCAAAATTATCCATTCAACTAGAAAGACAATTTTGCATCCACTCATACGTAGAAAAGTCAGAAATGAGAATTGAAAAAAGCAAATTCTTAGAAAAAACATTTAGCATCCACCAAAGTGAAAGACATAGATTTTTGGCACAGTTGAGACCTTAGTAGGAAAAACCAAACCTTGGCACAATGCCAATTATTTATCTCTTAATCTGGACATGTGAAATAGGTGGAGACCAATCAAAAAAGGAAAAAGAGTTGAAAAGCAGCTGCTCATATTTTACTGCCAATATTCCTGAACTTTAAAGAATATTCCACTAATGAACTGCAATAGAATTGGGCATTTAGACTTGATTCTTAGAAGAATTTCCAGTAAGTTTGAGCTAGTTTGGTAAATAACTCTCCAGACTTCTACAGCTAATGGAAAAATCACTTACCCTTTACTCGAAGTGACAGCATTCATATTGAAACCTAATGCAGCAACTCTATTAAGTTGAACTGTCTTAGCAGAAATCTTTCCATCGAGATATAGGCTTCATTTTTATATTTTTGGAGGCAGGGTCGCACTCTGTTACCCAGGCTGCACTCATGACTCACTGCAGCCTCGAACTCCTGGGCTCAATTGATCTTTCCACCTCAGCCTCCCGAGTAGCTACAGACATAAGCCACCATACCCAGATAATTATTTTATTTATTTATTTATTTATTTTTTAGAGTCTCACTCTGTTGCTCAGGCCAGAGTGCAATGGCGTTGCCTCAGTTCACTGCAACCTCCGCCTCCCAGGTTCAAGTGATTCTCCTGCCTCAGCCTCCTGAGTAGCTGAGACTACAGGCATGTGCCACCATGCCCAGCTAATTTTTTGTATTTTTAGTACAGATGGGGTTTCACCATATTGGTCAAGCTGGTCTTGAACTCCCGATATTGTGATCCACCCACCTCAGCCTCGCAAAGTGCTGAGATTACAGGCGTGAGCAACTGTGCCCAGCCTATTTTAAAATTTTTTTGTAGGTTCAGGGTCTCACTGTGTTGCGAGGGTTGGTCTTGAACTTCCGGGGCTCAAGTTTTCCTCCCACCTCACCCTTCCAAAATGCTGGGATAACAGGCATGAGCCATCGCACCTGGCCAGCTTTATTTTAAGGCACTAATAATAAAGAGATGAAAAAAGCTAGGAATAAGTCAGATCTTTCCAGAAATAAAAGACATTTTAAAAAACAGTTAACCTGTCTGACCTATTTCAACGTCTAAAGAGGGTAAAGAATGTAAAAGTTTTCATGCCTACCTGATTCAGCTCTTTTCCATTTCCCAAACACTTATTTCCATGTCTCAGATTTACATTTCCTCAAAGGGCAGTAGAGAAAGATGGCAAGGATTTCAGTAAAACAACAACAAAAAAACCAACCCCCCAAAAAAGCAAGCCTAGTTTGTAGCCTAGTCTGATGATGAATTAATTTCCTAATGATGGCATTTAGTCCACAGACTCAGAGGCTGCAACTGTAACAAGGTATTATTTTCTATTGCTGTGAGGAGAGAGTGTATAAGGAAAATTAATTTTTTACAACCCAGCAAATATAATTTGTTAATAGCAAACAGGAAATTCTGGAGAGAAAAAAATTTACCCTGAAACATCAATTCTAGCAGGATTTCCCTACACTTTCCAATGTATTCAATTTTGCCACAAGAAAAAAACTAAATAAAATAAAACAGCGTTCAAGTCAGTGAGGTGAGCAAACACCAAAAAATAAGTGACTTGATTGTGGAGGAAGGCACACGGGACAGGCTTACTAAAGAGAAATGCTTCCTGCGCACACGCATGCACACATGAACTTGTACACGAATCTCCAAAGCGTGGATGTGGGGAAAGCCTTGCCAACATGACTAGACACAGGCAGTTATCCCATCTGCCTGTATCTCTACATAGGCTCTGACGTACATTCCACACCCACAGTCACTCATGCACGAGGGCCAGCCTGGCTTGCACACAGACTGAGAAACAGATCCAGAGACTCCTAGAGCTGCTGCTTCTACAGGAATGATTAGTTAGTGCAGGATTATACTTCCTGTTGATGTGCAGGCTTTTTATCAGACATCTCCCCTTTTTAAGAGCACTAAATCTTAATTTGGTGGAGGGACTAATCTTGATTATTCGATGAGCATGACTTAGAACAGGAGGTACAGGAATTAAAACTAGCAACAATAAGGCCCCTTTCGGATCGGGGTGAAGAAGTATTTCTGGATTTAAACAGTTTCTGGGGGAAAAAAAAAGCAGAGTTCTTGGTGGAAGTGGATAACTTCTGCGGGGGAGATAAAAATGCCTCAAAGTCCAGAAATCAATATAAACAAACAAACAAACAAAAAATGAATATAACTTAAAGGGGCTTCAACTAAGTATCACTGCAACTGAGTTTGTTGACTCAAGAAATTCTGCTCTGACGCAGGGAACTGAAAGATAAGAACTGGTAATACTTTTTCTTGGGAAGGCTCAGCTGGGAGTGCCTGGCAGGTATTGAGGGTGGGGTAGAGACAGAGGCCTGAGGCTTAGGTTTTGCTCCTAGGGTTTCTTGCCTGATTTTGAAGGGAAGGGTGCTAAAGCAAATGGATCAGCAGCTGGCAGCTCCGTAGTCCTGGAAGAAAGGGATGAGATGGAAACAGACCCAGCTATTGACTGCTTGTTGGTTTGTGAAACAATTTTGTAGGCAGCTATGGGCTGGGCTTCTGGACTTGGCTCATCTTCTGGGCTATAGTGACGGGAATACTTGGATAAGGACTGGGGGCGGAATGGTTTGCCAGCCACAGGGCCTGAGACAGCTTCTTTCTGGGGCTGAGGTCCTTTGTTTCTGTCATTAGGATGACTCCCCGATTCAAGGCAGGATCCCCTAGGAGAGATGCTGTCCAGATGGTCTGCTGCTTGTACAGAATGGGAGGGGAGGTTAGATTGTTGCACAAAACCAGCTGTGGAATACTGAGCTTGGACAGAGGTGTATACAGCTCTCTCACGGCCCGAGGACAAGGGGATGTCACCTGTCTGACTGAGGAGACCAGCCTGTGCAGGCAGCTCCTGAGAGGTGCTCTGGATAACTGTTAACTCCTCCACACTTTTCTTCTTAGTGAAGGGAGCTCTCAAAAACACGTCTGACTCCTCTGGCTGGGAAGGAGCCACACTGCTCTTGGAGACAAATGGGGCTTTGGAGAAAATGTCCATGTCATCATTTGGAACCCTTGAGCTCCTGAAAGGAGCAACGGCAAAAACATCTGGCTCGCTGAGCCCATCAGTGGTTGGCTGTGTGAGGACTGGGAACTGGTTCTTTCTTCCACCTTGAACTGTCTTTGCTTGCTCAGTAGAGACTTCTGGTGGAGCGAATGGAACAGCTCCTCCCAGCTTCCCCTGGGGGGATCTGCAACTCTCATCTTCTTCTTCAGACTCCATAAGGAGAGGCCGAGACCCACTGCAGTCCAGCATGTCTCCCTCAAGGTCAGTCCCCTCCTCTTCGCTGCTGTGGAATGAGCTGTTGCTTGAAGGGCCATCTCTGGCCAAGTAGTCGGATTCTAAGTTGTTCTGAGTCTTTGTGCCAGGTACTCTGGAGGGGTCTTGATACAGGGAAAGGCCTTTAACACCCAGTGATTCTTTAAAGTGCTCTACAGTTATTACAGGACAGGGACTGGACTCTCTCTGGAGACCTAGAAAACCATAAAATGCAGAATTAATGTATAGGTCAATTCTCTTTGGAATATTCAATGGTCAACCCGCGGCAAAAACATTGTGGGACCAAATAATAGATGTTGAAAATGCAAAAGGAAAAACAGAAAAATAAAAGTCAGGCAAGGAAACTGCACACAAACTGGAACACAACCAACCACTGTTGCACGTTTTGGAACATGATAGGCACGATGTACAGGAAAGGAGATGAAGATGTTAGGCACACAGACATTCAGCGTTAACTATGCAATGCTCCTACACACAGGGCCAGGCACGGACACCTGCTCTACCTGGCGCTGGCTCATTATGGAATGAAAACAAACCCAGTCATTCATCTCCACATATACCATGACTGTTTTGGATTATGTAGAAACACTGTCTGGGGATGACTCAATTGAGGGACAAACTCTCTGAAAAGAAGCAGAATGTGGCTGCTTGATAAATACAAGTTTACTTGATGACTTATATCATAAGCACTACTCAAAGAGCACAAGAGTGCCCAAAATATAAATACTGAAGGTACCTTCTAAGGGGAGCATACGGCATCGAAATCAGACCAAATAAATCACCTTCAGCTCGAGTTGCCCCAGAATTTTGTTTTCAGTCTTCTGAGTTTGTAAAGATCTCCTCTGCTTAAATGAATCTGTCATAAACTTCTTTAAGCAGAAGGAATAAAATGTATGGGTCATTACAGAAGCATTAGCAAACTCCAATATACTAGTCTATTTCTATCTAGGTAGAGGTGCCTCAGGGTGCTCTGGCTTTTAAAATCAAATAGACAATTATCAGAATGCAATAGAGCTTACCTTCCAAGAAATATTAGCAGGTTAGAAGTATGTCATTGGGCACATGTTAGCAAAAGGGCAGGAAAAAGGTATATGTAACTAAGCAAGAAGAATCCAGAAAAAGGGTGGTCGGGGGCAAAGGTATCATTTCACCACGGGCTCAGTAAAGAGATACTACTGGACTTTCCCAACCCACCAGGATAAGAATATTAGATACGATGATTTGGAGCCATAGATGACCCAGAACCTCTGTAGGGATGGAACTCAATCATCTCCTTCCCATACTGACCCTCTCCCCTCCTACGCAAATCGTTAGCTAGCAGAAATTTCTGCCCCAAATTATCCCCTGCTAACATTAGCTAGCAGAAATTTCTGCCCAAAATTATCCCCTGCTAAAGTTTCTGCTTCAATTAAGCACACACACCACAGCAGAAGAGGGATTAAAATCAGTTTATTGGGAAACCAGTCACTTAGAGACATCACATTGTAAAGAGAAGGTAGAGAGGGGTCTGAACATTTTATAAGATACTGTACAAAAATACTATATTTCTATGAATCCTATAACTTTTTAGCAGTGCTTCTTTTTAGACAGTTCTGACCTTATTGTTTTCAGAAACAAAACAAAAATGTGTTTTTCCTCTGTTTTTATTTTCCTTTCTAACAGTTTGAATGAATTCAGTAAATTTCAGATTAGAGCATTAAGTTAAATTATGTACTGGTGCCAAATGGCTTTCTGAATACTATTTAAAGAATAAGATTTTGAAGATAGTAAGTTTTTCCTTGCATTGTAATTTTAATATGTGCAGCTACATGGTAATATGAAAGCATCAGTCAGCCAACAGGAAATAAACAGAACACCTTCTCCCTTTCAATTTATGTGGACAGAAATCATCCTAATTTCTCAGGCAAGTATATTGATATAGATTTGTCTCAGTGATACCAAGATGATAATTTCTGGGAGGAAATTCAAATAAAAGGGAGAAAAATAAGTTTTCTAAAATAAGGTTTGCAGAGCCTTAAAGCAGGACAAGAGAGCCCTAAAACTCCTGGAAGCAGCTTCCTCACATAGTATCAGTTGGAAAACGTTTTCAGTTGCCAAAACAAAAGCACAATTTCTCATCTTCCAAAACTACCCTGAAAGCTGATGTTATTAAGCTTGTGCTTCAGGAGAGCAAAGTATTTCTTAGGGAAAAAAATGGAAAACTTAGTCAAGCCAATGACCAATTCTGACATCATATAGGTCAGTAATACAGTGAACATTAGTTTGATTGGAGTCAGTGTTTTTTAGAAATTTAAACTAAATTCAGTCAAAACAATTTGTGTGTGGAGACTGGCAAAAAAACCAGCTATCTATTGAACCAGGGGCACGCTGGATGCCTAAAGTGCTAGATTACATTTTGAGAACTGGAAAGTACCAAGGGGTGTGTGTGTACCCATACCCAGAGTTGGAGAGGACGGAAGGACATGTCTAATCCATCAAAATTATTTGTTAAAAAGTAGGTTTTTGGTCAAGAACCCATTTGGCAAACATTCCAACTCAGAGCATATTCTATGACCTTCATGATGACCAAGGGGAAAATCAGACTTAAAATTCCAACAACTTTGAATAATTCACAAAAATACCAGAATATCAAGTTTGAAGGGAAAATTAGTCTCCTGTCCTTCAAAACAAGGACTAGAGCTATTTCCTATCTTTCTTTCAGCATCAATAGGCTTTGTAGGAGTGGAAAACTATATTTAAAGGGTTCTCCTGAGAAGGCCAAGTCCCTTAACCTTTCTATTCTTAGGGGAGGTACAGTATGACTGACTGAGGCAGACAGCAAGCACACTTTGCAACTCTCCAGGCCTGGTACTCTGAAGGCCAAAGAAATGCCAGAGAATACGGGGGAAGCCCAAACCTCCACATTCACTTAAGGAATTCTGGTGGTGGTAGCAGCAGAAACAAGGTAGTCAAGAGAAAGAGACATTCCAAATATACTATAAACAGAAGGTAACCATCAAATCTTGTTGGCTTATAAAAGTCTTTTTTTTTTTTTTTTTTGAGTATGTGAATGTGTTCTTATAGGGAAAATGTGTTTTCAGGGTGAACAGTTCCTTTATATGAAGATAGCATTGTGTCAACAAGAAAATGTGTTTGAAACAGTTTCTCTACTAGCAATGAAGGATTTATACCACTTAACCACATGCCTTGTCCCGGTTCCTCTGGTAACCAATAGCACACTATAGCAGACACCTGTGGCCTCAGAACTCAGTAAACACTGCCTGTTGTACCTCAGGGGCTAAACCCCAGGGCCTGGCTTCACAGTCTGCTCAGGGTCTTACTTATCACGGAGCCTAAGGTAGGGTTTTGTTATAATTCCCTCAAACTGGGTCATGCCTCTTTTTATTTTCGTTTTGCACATAAAATTAAGCAAGTAGTCAAAACACACTTCTTTTTCTTGCTCTGAGGTAGGACTGTGTGTCAGGTTGGGCACTTTGACACTTCCGATACGGGTAACTCCATATTAGTCTATTTTGAGGCTCCAAATTCTGTAGATTTCAGCAAGAATTCACACGCTTCAGGGAAGAGAAAGAGTCCCTAAAATACCTGATGACTTTGCAACTATCCTCACCAGCTCCCTATTAACTTCCAAAGCAACCAAAAGTGCTGAATCATTTAGGATTGCTTTCCCTTGGAAATTCCATCTGATTGACACAGTGAGGGTCATCAGAATGCTCCCTAAAGAATCAAACTCTTAAGACTTAAATATCAGGATGGATCTTCCTTCATGAAATATATCATGCACAACCAGAAGTTTACTTTTCTTCATACCATAAACTGAAATAACAGTTACAGGGAGTATCAAAGATATAATTGTTGCCAAAAATGGAAAATGAAGACTTGGAGTATTGAGAAGAAGCCTTCTCATATAGTTAGTAAATAGAAAGCAAACTACCCCTTTACAAAAACTTGGAAATGCAACAGCAATGGAAATGTAAAGTCTTAGAACCAAACAGGGGAAATCAAGAGATGTACATCAAACTAATAATTTCCATGAACTTTTAGTTCACATAATAAAAGTAGGCATTTGGTTCCACCATATATTGGGCAGCTGCATTAAAACCCATGACTAGGAAATGAGGGACCTGATGGAAGCCAAAAATGGCCAGCTGTGCCTCTTGAGCCAATGAGGCAATTAAATGAGAGAGCTTTCTCACTGGGGATAAAATTATTCCTGCCAACAAAAAATGTTTGATTAAGTTGGCCTGGGTATATTAGGAATTAATTAGAGAAGGGAAGCTGCAAACCTGTGCTCCATTTTATAACTTTGTGTCTGGTCAAATCCAATGTAGGCTGGCCAGCATCTAATTCTCCTTGGCCATAGGAGGCTTATTCTCTCGGGTAGCCACGATTCATTACTATGTCCTCAGTATGTAGCTACACTTTCCTTGTGCACAGATACTTACTGTCACTCAACACTGTGATTAAATCCTTTCTGTAAAAAAGTGGGTTTTCAGCTTAGGAAAAGAGCAACTTAAGTTATTTACATCTCTAAACATCATGCTCCCATTTGAACAGATAAAAGTTTTTATTCCCCTGTATGTTTACATAAGAAATTTCTTTACAGACTTTTTTTAATGCAATTCTTGTGCAGCAATGTTCAAATTTCACATTTTTACTGCATAAGGTATCTTCATATACAACTGTCTGTCTTCTTGGGAAGGACAGGTTAAAGACCTATGATAAATACACATCCACATGACAAAGGAGAGCGCAATAGGGCAGAGGAGAATACTCATGGGAAAAGAGTAAATTCAGGACACTACATCAAAGTGTGAACCAAGAAAGTGTCTTTCATTTTAGCAACTACCACCATTTGGAAACTTCTTTGCATAGGTTAGCATTACCCCAGGAGCCTCCCTATCCGATATTAGTGAAAGGAAATCTGGGAGAAGCAAGAGTTTCCTTGTTATAGATTTTCTGGGACTCATTCTGATAAGAAACCTAAGCACATCCAACTTCAGAAACATTACTAGTGTGGAAAAAGAAAAGGCTAACTTTGTGTTGGTAAAATTACAGCCTTTAGAGAGGAATAAAAGATAGCTTTGCAGTATCTGGAGTGTGTCAGGAAAGATTCCATTCTAAATATTCATATGATTGTTTTTCTGTTCTGCCAGGCAGCCTCTAAATTGCTTAACCCAGAACACTGGGCAATCCTGTCATTTTCATCCCAAAGCTCAAAGTTAGCAGCTATGAGAGTCTGATAATCTTATAGACTGAGAAGGTTAAAGACTCTGGAAAATCCCAGAAAAACCTTATCAAGAGAGACTTTATTTTGGCCCAAGGTATCTATAGCATGTATTTATTCAGCTGAGTGCAGATCCCTTCAAATTGCAGGCTGTCAGCCCCAAAGATCCCTTCATTCCCATAGCAGTGCTGAAGGCAGAACTATTCCTGACCTGGGGAAGGTTATATTGATTGATTATCTGTCAGGAGAGTAGAAAGTAAGTATTCAAAGCAAAAAAACAAATGTATTCACAACAAAACAAATATTACATCTTGAGAAAAGTAAGTTCTTTTCTTGGGTTTGTTTTTCTGCAAGTATTAGCAATCCAAGTTCTGTAATTCTAATTCAGGAAAAGTGAAGTCCAATATCAACACTAAACAAAGTGACAACTTCTTTCACAGGTGTTTTAATACCTATGTTTCAATTTTTTAAACCATTCTAAAGACGGGGGAATCACAGAAGTTTCCTTATTCAGAAAAGTAAAGAAATTAAGACTTGATCGTGTTCACCTTCTATTAGAAGAACCTTTCTGATAATTTTTTGTGGTTTATTCTTTTCACTGTCTTCAACAGTAACCACTTTTCATCTTACAGGGTTGAATTTGCTTTCTGGAAATGGCTAAATGTTACGCAGAACCAAGAGTGGTAGAATATACTTTTAGATGCTTTCTCAAAGTGATACTAATTAAATAATATAACTGGTTTTCTTATACCTTATTACCTTCCTTGATATTATTTCTAAGGAGAGAAGTTTCAAAAATAACTTTAAGGATGGCAGCCTCATTAGAATAATAACTTCTTAAATAAAACTAGATGACTTTGAAGGGAACAACATTTAATTAGATGTCAAAATTCTAATATATCTGCTAAAGAAATCATTAATTATAATAATCACAATCATATTTAGAGGTGCCCATTTAAGCCCTATCTCCTCTGAGGTATGTGTTTTTGAAAACATTGGGGCTCATTTGAATGTTGTAAAGGGAAAAATCGATTTGTGATGTTTCTGCTATAGTTACTCCTCTTACATGGTTGCAATAAAAGCAAATCAGAAACATATGTTTTTTTTTTTTGAGACGGAGTTTTGCTCTTGTTACCCAGGCTGGAGTGCAATGGCGTGATCTCGGCTCACCGCAACCTCCGCCTCCTGGGTTCAAGCAATTCTCCTGCCTCAGCCTCCAGAGTAGCTGGGACTACAGGCACACGCCACCACACCCAGCTAATTTTTGTATTTTTAGTAGAGACGGGGTTTCACCATGTTGACGAGGATGGTCTCGATCTCTTGACCTTGTGATCCTCCCGCCTTGGCCTCCCAAAGTGCTGGGATTAGAGGCATGAGCCACCGCGCCCGGCTGATACAGAAACATATGCTTTAGTATTTGCCCGTTTTAAACTGGTAAATCCCTGATTATACATTTAAAAAGAAATCTGATATCATTTTATTAGAATAGGTAGGTGTGTATACACGCATGTTTTTCTGTAATACTTAAAAAGGAAAATCTCTCAGACTATGATGATTTAGGCTTCTATTCAGATAATCTAGGCTTCTAGTCAGATAATCAAGAAAGAGCAAGTTAGTAAAAGCCCATTATAATTCTTTAAAATGTAAACACTGCCACTGAAATAGCAGGAATTATAGAAGATAACTGAAGAACATCAGGATTATATAAATCCTTCATAGCCCTTCTAAGCATAATAATATCTACTTAGGAACCTATGCTTCTATAATCTTAAAGACCATCTAGTCCAAACCCATTGTATAACTAAGGAACAGCAGCTCTGAGAGGTGAAGTGCCTGCTGAAGGTCACTGAGCCAGTAGCTGGCAAGGGCCAGGATGAGATCCCAGGTGGCCTGTCCTGCCCAGGCCTCTTCTCCCCCGACCCTGTTCAATCCAGCTCAGTTCCCACACCTGTAAAATGAAGAGGATGGTGGACTAGAGGATGGTCTCAAAGGTCCCTTTATAGCTCAGGCTATGATTCCACAGGTACTAGTACACTATGCTCATCTCAAATAAACTCTTTCAGCTCAGGGATGATGCTATAACCCAAGGAAGGCCCCGTTTACTAAAGCACTCGTATGTGTTCCTTAACAGAAAAATAGTTCTCCCTTTTGAGGAGGCCTTACTCTAAATAAGCCCAAGACAATTTCTTGTCATTATCTCCCTCAGGCTTCTACTACCGTCTCTGGCTTCTAGTCTGCTCATTTTCATTAACAGTCTCCATTAAGCTTTACTGAGCCAAATGGCTAGATAATATATCTCAATGTAATTATGGGTAATGCATCAAAAGAACAATTTAGAGATACCTAATTTCTAAACTGTACTCTTCATAGTTTCAATTGAGAAACTAGATATTTCATTATATTTCTAATATGTATATATGAAAAAAATCAAATGTGAAAATGCAGAACTAAAACATTATTCTTATTTAAAAATAAACACTTCCTCATTAGTTAATACATTCTTTCTATGTCCAGGAAAGAGACTACAATTCCAAACTGCAGCAATTTTCCTGTCCATAAAGGTGTAAACCAAGTCCTATTTTCACTGCTATCCAACCACAGAGAGCCCTTCGTGGATATCTTTTGCTTTTTAATCCTCGGCAGGAAGCTTGTGACTCTCTCCATTTTGGAAATATTATTCAACTAGAGGTCTTTACCTAGCTCATCTTGTTTCAGCCAGCACGGGAAGTATTTAAAGACGAAAGGCTGGAAGATTCTGACTTTTCCTCCAATACCTTCCAAATTCTGCTCACATCATTCCTAGGACCAAACCTTGCCCTCCAGAATGCAGTGTTTCATAGGCTGTTGTTGCTGTTAAACTTTTTCCCCCTCTTAAAGTGCAAATGTGAGGAAGAAGAAACAAAAGTACTAGATAGCAAAACAAGCAAATGGACTTGGAATTTTATTTGTACAAATCTCATCAACTAAGAGTTTCCCTTTTGATGATGGACAATAGCACTAGAGGAAGAGAACAAGAGTGGGGTTCTCTGTGCCCACTTCTTTTCAAAAGGGTGATTTTATAAAAGTGCTTTCCACATAAGGAAATAAAACACACTTTAATGAGTAAGTACATATACAGAGGGTGACCATGAGGCATGTTGTCATGTTAGTGCAGGGGCCTTTATTTATTTTATGAACAATATCCTAAAGTTAATAAAGAACTATGCTTTGTTTTATTATTATTTTTTTAATCTAGGAAGCCAAGGAAAATCAACTGAACATATTCCATTGGCTGCAGCCTTCGATTTAAACATCAGAGAGAAAGAAAGGTAAGCTGGGCACACTCAGATTGTGTCCAGCTTGTCAGCACACTTATTTCTCATTATCTGAAAATAAACAACATGCTTATTCTAGAGACAGAGGACCTGCTGAAAGCTTATAGCAACACACAAGTCTATTCAAAATGATTCCATATGTTACACTGTAGGATTGTTGTGTTGTTATACAAGGGAAAGAGATCAAAACCCTGTACAGACACCTGATATCAGACTTGAAATGCCAAGTGGAAACAGAACTATTCAGCGTCTTCATTTATACACAATTTACAATATTTGATTCAAAATAAAAATCACAAGAAAAATACATCTGTTTCTGCTACAATTCCTTCCCCTCCCCATCCTCCCCCCTCCCGCAGTGAAAAGTCTTCTAATAAAAGGTATCATATTACCACCACTGTCTTGTTTTGGTCTAATTCTGAGATCCCACTTGGGACGGTTAACATGAAAAGGAATGGCAATACTTGGGATTTATATAACATACACATTTTATCCAAGGGTCTCAAGTACTTGCAGTCACGTCTCCAGATCTGAGAAATCACGGTTCAATGGAAGCCAGAAAGCTGGACGAATGCTGGGCAGGTTGCATGGGGTGTAAAATCCCTTGGCTAAGTCTATGATCAAACAAGGTCAAAGTTGGTTGGCTAGAGCTGGGTTCAATTTCTCTTCATATATATATATATATATATATATATATATACTACCAGTCAGTAAGTTTCACCCTTTCTTAAACCATTGGAAATAAAACACCCATCTCCAGGCTACTGCCTAGAGTTAAGACCAACTGAAGTAGCCATGTCCTCGTGATAATGCATCAGGATAAAAAGCAAAAACAGGGAAATACATTCATCAGCATCTGGCCAAAGGAGACATGGGTTGGGAGAATTGATTTGGGAGGCCATTCCTAGCAAGAATGAGACAAAAGTGTCAATTCACTAGTTTCAGTTACAGTTAAGCTTTTGGTGGAGTTGACTCCAGCAGAGGTGAAGCTCATGGCATCTAGCGCTTGATTTAAGATAATGCTATTGAAGAAGGGTAATGAGAAAACACAGCAAACTAACAGGGAGGAACTGGCCAAGAAATATCTGGAGGGCCAAAGTGATTTTCTTTCCTTATCATTTCTACAGGAGAAGGCAAGGGTTTGGAGAAAAGGGCTGGAGGGCCCCTTATTTGCAGATTTTTTTTAAAAAATCATTTTTTTCATAACTCCGTAATGAAAATGTGTTTTACGGTATGAAGGTTACAGAACTGCATCTGCTACTGGGTCACGGCTACAGGTCTATGAGCTGATCCACCAGCAGTAAAGACCTGGCTAGGTTGGGAAGACTGGACTCAGAGCTCCCACTGCTGTTTCTAGAGTGCCCACCTGGAAGTGGAGAGATAGGAATTCAGTACAAAACATAAAGGGTTAAGGTTTAGATGTGCAGAGCAAGCAAAGAAGAAAAACTAAACAAACAAACAAAAATCCAAACCCTAGAGAAGCAATATTTTACATTTGCAAACCCTTCCATGTTGATTTTGAAACATACATGTTAGCTGTCCACCACCTCCCACCAAAAGCTCAGGCACTGTGCACACCACAGTATGGGCAGGACATTTTGCAAAGAGGGCACTATTTGCAAATCAACACTTTTTTTGGTTGAGAATTGCTAGCTGCACACTAACTTCCTGATAATGCCAAGCTATCTCCCTGATAAAGTAAAAATCAATAATTGTTGCTTTGGGGATAAACCAGTTATTAAGATACTGCAATAAGAACATGCTTTAAAAAATAAATAGATGGTCCTATGGCAATTTAGTGTTTTATGGCATGTTCAAATGATTTTCATCCATCAAAGTGGAAAAATGATGCTCCATTAATGTCTAAAAGATGTGAATGATACCAAAACACAGCTGTTAATCTCATTGGGAACAATATTTATTATGGATTATTCTACTCATGATTAAAAAATGCTATGTCCTTTTGATATATACCTTCAGGTTTTCACTGACTGAAGATTACTTTGCTTTTGGCTTCTTGGTAAAAACTAACTTTTAGCCAACTGTTAAATACTCTCTCTAAATAAACACCATGGTCAAACTTTAAAACTATCTATCTCTATCTGTCTCTACTGGTCTAGCCTACAATGATTCTCATTACCCGCAATGTCCTTCATTAATTATTGATGCTTTTCTTTCCCCTTGCCGATTAGGTGCATGACTGTTTTGACGAGAGCTGAGGGCAAGCTCTTCTCTTTTCCCCATCCTTTTTCTTACCTTGTGGGTTTTTGGTTATCAATACAGGAATAGGGTCAAACTCATCTTCCGCCACCTTGTCCGAGCCCTCAGGGACATCAAAACCTGAGATGAGATTACTATCTTCTGCAGCTTAATACAGAATGCAAGTACACAAGCAGAAACAATAGAGGTAGAGATTAGCAAATGAGAGAATGTCAAAGAGGCACAAAGATCTCAACTGTACAGCCCTGTTGTTTTTAAAGGTGAAAGTACTTATCTTTCTGAGTTGAAATAAAAGTAGCAAAACTGGAAAATACAGAGATATAGAAAAAAATGCTTTAGAGTTGGCCATGATAAGACTTTTATAAATGATTAGGGAGAAGGGTTCCTAGAAGAATTGTATTATTTATAAGACATTAATTATAATTATTGCAAGGTATCTCTTTAATGTCACTAATCCATAAAGGCACAGGAATAAGTCATTTGTTGTCTTCACTGAGGTAACAGAGGCCTAACACTATTTGAAAAACTCAAAACCAGGGGAAAGAGGAAGAGAATTGGTGGTTCTTTAAGAAGTAACCGCTGTATACAAGGCAGACAAAATACTTCTGTAAGGACTTACTGCACTATGACTGGGAAAAAAGACACCGAAACAACTCAGATGCCCCAGGGAACGTTGAGGCACAAGATCACATATACTGAGGCCTCAAGCGAAGTTTGTTAGAACAGTCTTCTCCATTCTAATTAAAGCTATCCTACCAACAAGCAAGTGCTAGCTGGACACCTATTTTGCAACTGATACTTCTCTGTAATTCTACATGGCTGCTGACACTAGATACCGTTGTCTAAATAGGTAACTTTCCTCTATAATCTATAAAAACATAATCATTTTAAAGTCATCAGGGTAAAAACAAAAACTCAACTATTAATCATTTCAAATCTCAGGGGTGATTATTTTGAGTCATCCTGGGGAGGCTTCTTTCTCAAATTTTCTTTTGAAGGGACTTAAGCTTTTCCTTTTCTATGCATTTTCTCTTTCCAGAAGACCACTTTCACCACCCAATCACAGAAAGTTCAGTAAATGCCTATGCACAAAAAGCCAGGCATTGAGCCTGACACTGTCACAAATTACTCACTGAAAAGAATTGGATTCAAGCTACCTCCGTCCAGCAGGATTTCAAACCACTATTAACTCAAGACCAACAAATGAAAATGGTAGATTAGAAAGAGAAATCCAGTAACCAATCAGGACTAGAAGGTGAACTAAAATTCAAAACTTGTACAAGTTCAACCTTGGAGGACTGGCTTTTGAGGCAAGATGCTTATTCCTTTATTGCAGTCATCACTGTGCAATAACTTTGAATCAGATTTGATAAAAGCATTTTACATTCTAAGGCCAGCAAGCATTATATCGATCATTATAGTCAGACAGTGGATAGTGATTTCAACCATCTATTTGAATTGACTGCAATGGTACCTAGCTCTTAAAGGTAACATGGAATATTTGCACTCCATGTTCTTGCCAGAAAGCAATACTTTCACTAATGTGCTAAGTCTTTTTTACACTTAATCTTATTTCTTTTTAGTACCTGTCTTCTATTGATGTATTTAATTATTTAATTAATTAATTAGACAGAGTCCTGCTCTGCTGCCCAGGCTGGAATGCAGTGGTGCAATCATGGCTCATTGCAGCTTCGACCTCCTGAGCTCAAGCAATCATCCCACCTCAGCCTCCCAAGAACCTGGTACCACCAGTACATGCTGCCACTGCTGGCTTATTTTAAGACTTTCTGTAGAGAGTCTTCATATGTTGTCCAGGCTGGTCTCAAATTCCTGGGTTCAAGTGATCTTCCCACCTCAACCTCTCAAAGTGTTGGGATTGTAGGCCTGAGCTACCACACCTGGCCTGTTGTCTAAGTCTTATTAAATATTCTCACTGAGAGGTATTATAACACAGTATCTGGGAGTATAACCTCAAGTTTTCCATATAAGGAGGTAGTTTTAAAACTTCACTAGTAAAGACTTTTGATAAGAAAAACTCTCAAAAGTTGTTCAGTTCTTTTCCCTTTAAGGACATATGCCTGAGAAGAAGAAAGCATTTACCTTTATGGACCGGAGCAGAGATTGCTGTGGGGGCAAACTCTTCTAGAAGGTCAGTAGTAGGGTTAGAGAGCAGAGAACAATCAAGCAGGGAATCTTCCCCGGTGAGAGAATCTGAGTCCAGATTAACAGCATCCAGGTCAGTGATGGCATTAAGTGGCACACACACAATATCATGAGATTAGATCTTAGCCTCTAAATTACTGCATTTACACATTACACATACACGCCAAGGTAGGAGAAAGAAAACCAAAAGAAATGTATGAAGCATTCTGGATTTCTAGCTATAGAAACATGTCTTTCTAGATTCCTCTTAACACTAATATATAAATAGAGGATAATTTTTTACTCAGAGGTTAAACAAGTCTGTGATTTGGATGCTGAAATAACTTTAGTACTTCAGTTCTTAGCGAATGCCATTAGAGAGAAAGGACTTTATGATTAGAGTTTCACTTAAACTTTCCTTAACACTCATAGAAGGAAGTTACTATAAGAAGAAGTATCCAAACTGATTAGGAGAGGGTTGTCTCAGGCTTGTTATTAGCAGAATACGACAGGATTAAACAGTACCTTCTAGAACTCATCCTGGTTCCCACTCACAATGCCTCTTACTAGTATTCTTTACATTTAAATTGGCCCTTTGAACACGATTTTGATTTTGGAAAACCAAGACAAAAATACAAAGTTCAAGCATTTTAACACAAGAATTGTTTTCTGAGAAAGTTTGCTAAGAGAAAAACATTTAAGTGAGGATAAGAAAAATAAATCATATTGTCTTTGGAGGTAATTTTTTTTTCACTTGGATGAATTTATCTTCCTAGGCTTCTAATTGTTTCTATTCCAAGTTTGAAAACCAGATACTTCTATCAGGGGGATTATGGACCAAAAAAAAAAAAAAAAAAGGTTACCAAATCTGTATTTATGGGCGGTTAAAATTCTTTTAAGACTGAATTTTGAAATTAGAGTACAAGCAATACTAGATCCAGGGAAGACTTCAACTTTGCCTTATAATTTAACAGCAAATTACCTATACACGATTAAAGCACTGTGCTGGGAACAGAACATCAATATACAGAAGATGCGCTCCATGGACATGACTGACGTTGGTAGTTGGAAAGATGCACAGCAGTCTGGAGGGTTAAGGGTATCTTACAGCTCAGCGGAGTTCTTTAATTAAGGAGGTAGAGGGATTCTGCCGCCAGTGAAAAGAATCTTCAAAAAAGAAATACTATAACCACAGAAAGCCCAGAGATCACTCCACAAAGAACATAGCTCCAAAAAGTACTCAGTTCTTTAGCAAGGAAATATATCCCTCAACATCTAGAAGCTGGGCTGTAACAATTCAGTATCCATTTCAGGAAGAACTACTTGGGCTGCAAAATAAGCCCAGGATCGACTGAGCCAGGTGAAAAGACTGGCTCAGAAGTTCACCACAACGACCAGTCCCTGCAGCTGCAGAGACACCTGACTGACCTGTGCGATTTGAGGTCACAGATTCCGTCTGAGATGGGAGGCGCTGGGGAACTGGGGGCTCCAGTCCTGGTATGAGACTCTCAACAGCAACATCAGCTTTTTCTTTCATAACAGAGCATTAAGAAAGGAGAGGAAAGGGTAAGGGAAAGGAAGTCAGAAGGTTCTTTAGGAAATTCTGTGACGCTTTCTTCTTTTTTTAAATTCTTATTTTTTGAGATGGTGTCTCCCTCTTGAGCTCAACCGATCTGTCCCGTATTGGCCTCCCAAAGTCCTGGGATTATAAGCGTGAGCCACCGCACTCAGCTATGTGAAGGCTTTCTTCTAACAGGTCTCTAAAATGCCAGTCTCAGGCAAGGTGGAAAGCACAATAAGTCACTTTACTTCTGCTGCTTTGAGTGTCTAGGTTTCACTGAGCTTGCATGTACAAGGTAACCACTGTGGCCAGTCTCAGCGATGATCAGTTCTTATAGACAAATTCAGAGCATATGTCGCTCAGAAAACCTCTTCCATGTCAAAAAACATGGGCTGAAAGGCGCCTTCATTTTTTTCTGGTAATTCTGCTTTTCTTAAGGGATAAACCTGGGGGCAAACATCCTCTGTGCCATGCAAAGGCCATTAATCCATCTCAAACCCCATGATGCAGCTGGGAGGCCTTTTGCACCATGGGACACTCTCAGCTGCAGGCCTACCTCTGTGTAAGGTCATGGCATTTCTGAGTTCTAGAGCTTTCTGCCCAAAGGCATTATTATGTGCCTCATGATTGGACCCTCCTGGAATACAAGGGCCTTGGACATTTTGCACATCTTGCCTGCCTTGCTGTTGGAACACAGGAAAACGTGGGAGAGGAAGCAGACTAAGCCCCTGCCCTGAATTCTATTTATGGAGCTTAACCAATGGGCAAAATGTTTTCTCAGTTACTGATACGTGGTACATACATAGGCCTTTAGAAATTTTTCAATTTTGTTTAAGATGGGTCCCTGTTACCTAAGCTGGAGGGCAGTGGCATTAATCGAGGCTCACTGCAGCCTCAAACCCCCTGACTCAAAGCGATCTTCCCATCTCAGCCTCTCAAAGAGCTGGTAACACAGGTATGCTCCACATACCTGGCTAACTTAAAAAAAATTCTTTTATGTTTCCCAGGCTGATCTCAAATTCCTGGCTCAAGTGATCCTCCCGTCTTAGCCTTCCAAAGTGCTGGGATTACAGGCACGAGCCACTGCAGCTAGATGTACATGGGTCTTCAAAGAAGAATCTGGGCCAAGCGCAGTGGCTCACACCAATAATCCCAGCACTTTGGGAAGCCGAGTCAGGTGAGTAACCTGAGGTCAGGAGTTCAAGACCAGCTTGACCAATATGGTAAAACCACATCTCTACTAAAAACACAAAATTAGCCAAGCGTGATGGCACATGCCTGCCTGTAATCCCAGCTACTTGGAAAGCTGAGGCAAGAGAATCACTTGAACCCAAGACGGGGAGGTTGCAGTGAGCCGAGATAGTGCCATTGCACTCTAGCTTGGGAAACAATTGTGAAACTCTGTCAAAAAAAAAAAAAAAAAAAGGCAAAAGAAGAATCTGCTAAATTTCATTAAGTTCAATAAAGGTAAAGTCTAATTAGAAACCAACTTTTTTGGTGAAGTTTTTCTAACTAAATGGAAACTTTCCACATTCCTCCTCATTCATATGAGATTCACTCTTGAAATCTCAAGATAGCAAGAAAAGCAAAAAATAGGTGTTATACCCCTGAAAAGCAGGGAAAACACTTCATTTGGAGTAAAAGAAGAGAGATTAAGTGACCTTGGCTTCTGCGTTGGCAGGGCTATTATTCCCTGGGGATCGGTTAACTAGGTACTTGTCATTCTTGAAACAGGCACACATATCATGCATGACTGAAGAAACAGAGATGATGACTTTACCAATTACAGCATCGGAAGTGCTACCGAAAGGATCTGTCATAGGCAAGAGGTCAGGGAGCAGAAGAGAAGTGTCAGGAGATTTGAGTCCCTCAATTAGTTTTTCTAGGTTAGAGAGAGAGGCAAAAAGAAAGCAAAAATGTAATGAGATATTAACTCAAGCGAATCATTAACTATTCTCTATGCAAACACAATTTAGGGGTCAATATTTGGTACAGATTCACCACAAAAATGAATGCTATTAATATCTTGTTAACAACAGGCTTTCAAAATTCAAAGTTCAAAAATGATTACTTCCTCAAGTGACATAGTCACTTTGCTATTATTACTATTTTTTGAGATGGAGTCTTGCTCTGTCCCCAGGCTGGAGTGCAATGGCACCTCGGCTCACTGCAACCTGTACCTCCTGGGTTCAAGCAATTTTCCTGCCTCAGCCTCCCGAGTTGCTGGGATTACAGGGGCATGCCACCACACCTGGCTAATTTTTGTATTTTTAATAAAGACAGGGTTTCACCATGTTGGCCAGGCTGGTCTCAAACTCATGACCTCATGATTCTTCCACCTCAGCCTCCCAAAGCGCTGGGATTACAGGTGTGAGCCCCCGCACCCAGCCTAACAAAGTCACTTTGTAAGGCATTCAAGATGCTGCCCTGGGTCTGTCTGCTTGTTTTTATTTTAGGTGTAATTTACATACAGTAAAAGTCACCCATTTTAAGTATACAATTTAGTTAGTTTTGACAAATGTATACATTCCTATCATTACCACCAAAATGATACAGAACCTTTCCAAAACCTGAGAAAATTCCTTCATGCCCCTTTACAGTCAGTGCCTTCCTCTCACCACAGACTCTGGCAACAACAGATCTGCTTTCTATCTCTATAGCTTTGCCTTTTCCAGAATTTCCTATAAGTGGAACCACAAAGTATGTAGTCTTTTGTGTCTGGTTTCCTTCCTTTAGCATAATGCCTTTGAGATGAAATTCATCCGTGTGGTCCCAAGTATCAATAGTTTGATGGGTTTTTCTTCCGAGTACTGTTCCATTGTATGGCTGTACTACAGTTTGTTGATCCATTCACCAACTGATGGACATTTGGTTGTTTCCAGATTTTAAGCTAGTAAAAATAAAGTTGCCATAAACATCTGCATATAAATCTTAGTATGTTCATTTTCCTTCCTGGGCTTAGCTTTGAATCTCTCTTTTTTCAGGAGTTGGGGGGACTTTACTTAGAAGCAGTTTATATTCTAACCAAGAGAATCAATTCAACCACACCTAAGTTGACTTCAACAATCACTTATTATCTGCTGACTATGTACCTGTGACATGCTGGCAGTCATATTATTCTATGGTCAAATCTCACAAAATTCACTTAAGACCCAAAATGGATTACTCTTGATGTCTTCTGGCCAAGAAATAAAAGGATGTCAGAGCCACTAGACTTGTCACCCTGGTACCTTAATGTTTGACAATGAGTACACATTACAAATATGCGTACACAAAGGAATCCTGATTTGTCCCTGATTTATCAGAACCCTCTATTCACCTTTAAGCTAGGATTAAAGGTAAAGCATTAACTTGAAACAAAATAATGAATCCTAGAATCTTACAGGAAGAAGGGAATTTAGACCTCATATTTCCTGTTACGAGGAGACTTAGATCACATAAATTCTTTAACTTGCCCAATTAAAGGCAAGTCAACAATATTCTTTTAAACCATGGAAATGTCATTAAGATAACTAAAATTGAAATGTTTGAGAAAAAAAAGCAACTTGAAGTCCAAGAACATGTATATAACATTGTAATAAATCTGTATTCTTCTAGGCCATTTGGGAATTCAGATAAGCAAGAAATAAATTGATATTCATGAAAAAACAGGAACCAAGTTTTAGGTGATCTTCAATATAGGTGATCTATAACCACACAGGTCAAACAAAAGAATGGATTTCGGAGTCTTGGCAAGATAATTTGCTTTAGTATAATTAACATGCTGCAGAAAAAGACTTATATGTAAAGCCAATTTACCATCTTTGGAGTGTATGGAATGTAGATAACTTTTAATTAAATGACAATAAGCTACATTTCTTATTTATACCTTGTTTATATTAAAAAAAAAAAAAAAAAGGGAAGGACAGCCAGGTGCAGTGGCTCATGCCTGTAATCCCAGCACTTCGGGAGGTTAAGGCAGGTTGATACCTGAGCTCAGGAGTTTGAGAACAGCCTGGCTAATACCGTGAAACCCCGTCTCTACTAAAAAAACAAAAATTAGCCTTGCATGGTGGTGCGTTCCTGTAGTCCAAGCTACTCAGGAGGCTGAGACAGGAGAATCGCTAGCCTAGGCGACAGAGTGAGACTCTGTCTCAAAAAATAAATAATAAATATAAATAATAAAAAAGGAAGAAAAAAACAGGGAAGCTTCTCAGTTGCAGGAAAAAATCCTCACAGGGCACTAAGCAAATATACAAGTGTAATTACATTAGCATTAACCTTACACTGTATATGACATTAACAGATGTTAAAAAGATCTCTAGTACTTTCCAGTTTAGTGGTAGAAATAAGACGGTTTTCCTAAAAAGTCTAAATTTACATTGTTCCAAACACTAGTTTTTGCTTCATTCCTCTCTCCTCAAAAATCTGTCACTTAAAAAAAATGAAATTACTTGCTTCTTTTAACTTAGTACTCATATATTTGCAATCTTGTAAAGCAATGGATAAAAAGTAAAGACCCAAAATTACTTGCTTGTCTTTCATACAGCTTATCTTGATACAAAACCTCAGGCTAAAATTTCATTCAGAGCCTCCACGGTGACATGTTGTGACCCTGGCACAGTTCCTTAACCTCTGACATTATCTTATCTGTAAAATGGAGATACCTCCCCCTATGTTTTTGTACTTGTCATACAAGTACATCTCTTCTAAGCCTTTCCCCACCTTCCTGCCGCATCAGGAACCTTCCGGAGTATCCTGCATTCAATTCTTTTGCAGCCCTTAAACATGACTGAAGGTAGGGAAGGGTCTTACAAACCTTTGAATCCCAGTTCTTGGTTTCCCCTTAGATGTCCTGTCACATCTATGCCTTTTGGCTTGACTGGGGAGGTGGGAGGAACAGGAGTTGAAGAAGAATCTAATTCTTTTCTTTGAGACGGAGTTTCACTCTTTTTGCCCAGGCTAGAGTGCAATGGCCCCCTGATCTCGGCTCATTGCAACCTCCACCTCCCAGGTTCAACCAATTCTCCTGCCTCAGTCTCCCCAGTAACTGGGATTACAGGTGTGCACCAAACACATCCAGCTAATTTTTGTACTTTTAGTAGAGATGGGGTGTCACTATGATGGCCAGGCTGGGGAACGCCTGACCTCAGGTGATCCACCTGCCTTGCTCTCCCAAAGTGCTGGATTACAGGCATGAATCACTGTGCTGCATATTTTTTTTTTTTTTTTTGAAACAGAATAGTGCTCTGTTACCCCGACTAAAGTGCAGTGGAATGATCACGGCTCACTGCAGCCTCGAACTCCTGGGCTCAAGAGATCCTCCTGCCGCAGCCTCCTGAGTAGCTACGGCTACAGGCATGCACCACCATGCCAAGCTAATTTAAAAAAAAAAATTTCATTTTAGTAGAGATGGGCGGCTTGCTATGTTGCCTAGGCCGATCTTGAACTCCTGGCCTCAAGTAATGCTGCCTCGGCCTCCTGAGTTGCTGAGATTACAGGCATGATTGGACATGGTAGAGCCTGGACTTGTCTTTGAAGTTCTCTCTATATCTGTCTAGGGGTCTGCCTATCTCCATCAAAATAGGAATGTGAGTCTTCACATAAACATGGTCCCAGGCATAATGGCAATGTTATCAGACAGATTAGCATTGCAAAGAACCTCCTATCTTACCTAACTCTGCCTTCTCATTTATGAAGGAAGAAACCAGCTCCAGAAGGTTAAAGTAACTTGCCAAAGGTCTCGTAGGAAGTAGGCAAGAGAGCTAGCTGATACTAAGACTCAGATATTCAACCACATTATAGATTCATTCTTCTGGTTTAACTAAAGTATTGATTGCTTTAAAATGTAGGGACTCTTAGAAGAAGTCACATCTAAAGCTATTATTGGCCATTTTTGGTCATTGTAAATGAAGAACGTAAGAAAAGGATATAATGGGAGGCACAAGAAAGGCTATAGGATGCCAACAGTCTATACATCATGGAGCCTGGAGGCCTTCCATCTGCATCAAGGGCTGGGCTGGACCCTTTATTTTATAAATTCTGTCCTTTCCTTAGTGTTTAATAGAAACACACTGAAGCCAAGTATCAGGGTGGGGCATGGAGAAGAACAGCGCAGAGAAGAGAGTGGTGAATATAGGAAGCTATGAAAGTGTTCCTTAAGATCCAAAAACACCAATCAAGCGTCACATCAGGATATGGTGACTTAGTGATGTCTAATGAACAAAGATCTTTTTTCCCCATGAGTTATGAGAAATGGCTTCTCTGGATGCAAAGGCAAAACATCTTTTGGGACAGTTCATGCCTGAAATGTACAAAGACTCACACTGTTATTCTCAATTATTTAAGAGGACAGACCAATAAAATTCCCAAATTATTCATCAATTATATTTTATAATGATTTAATCCTCCTAAGAAATGTTTCAGAAGAGCTGTTCCATCCTTCTGTTAGAATCAAAAGCCTATGACCCCATCATATTCCAGTATATGTGAAAAGCAGTGGACAATTCTGAAGAGAAGAAAATGGTCCAGTTTTGCATTCGTTTTTAGGCTTACTCTGATATATTTAGAATTGCCTCCAGACTCTAAACGTGTCTGTGTGGTGGGGCGGGGGCAAAGGTTGAATAACTATTGGGTACTATATTCAGTACCTAGATGATGGGATCAATTGTACCCCAAACCTCAGCATCATGCTATGTACCTATGTAACAAACATGCACATGTATCCTCTAAATCTAGACTATAAGTTGATGTTATTTAAAAAATGATAGAGTTATCATTTTATTGATTTATTTTTACCTTTTATTGTGATACTATACATTTTTGGAATTTTAGCGGGGGCCTGCCAAATCCCAAAAAATAAAGAGTAAAAGAGCCTGAATTTAAGTTGCCTGATTTTTCTAA